GCTCAAGAGGGAGGGGATAAGGGGACATATGTGTGCATATAGCTGATTCACTTTGGTGTACAACAGAAACTAACAGTATTGTGGAGCAATTATACTCCAATAAAGATGTATTTTTAAAAAATATAGGGCTTCCCTGGTGGCGCAGTGGTTGAGAGTCCGCCTGCTAATGCAGGGGACATGGGTTCGTGCCCCCGTCCGGGAAGATCCCACATGCCGCGGAGCGGCTAAGCCCGTGAGCCATGGCCGCTGAGCCTGCGCATCTGGAGCCTGTGCTCCGCAACGGGAGAGGCCACAACAGTGAGGGGCCCACATACCGCAAAAAAAAAAAAAAAAAAAAAAACAAAAAAAAAAAATATATATATATATATATATATATATAACTGAATCACTTTGTTGTAGGCATGAAACTAACACAATATAGTCAATCAACTATACTTCCATTTTAAAAAAGAAACCTTATTTTATTTTGCTTGTGGTTTTGTGGGTCAGGATTTCATAAAGGGCTTAGCTGGGCAGTCCTTGCTTGGGGTCTCTCATGAGGTTGCAGTCAGCTGTTGGCTGGGGCTCAGAACCCTAGTCTGAGTGTTTCCCTGGAATGGATGTCCAAGATGACTCATTCGACATGGCTGGCACTCACTGCTGGCTGTTGGCTGGCACCTCAGCAGGGTTGTTGAATGCACTGCCTACGTGAGGCTTTTCCATCACGGCAGCCTCAGAGTAGTCGGACTTCTTACTTGGTGACTGACTTCCTCGAGAGCAAGCATCTCCAGAGAACCAGGCAGAAAGCTGAGTGGCCTTCTACGACCTAGCCTTGGAAGTCATATAACGGCACATCTTCCACTCTCTATCCGTCCAAGTAGTCGCAGCTCACCCAGGTTGAAGGGGAGGAGACTCAGAACCTACCTGTTGATGGGGGGAGTGGCAAGGACCCATTTAGAAGAGCACAGGGGATGGGAGACATGGTTGCAGCAAACTTTGGAAAATACCGTCTGCCACTCAGGCAACTGATAATGTCCTAGGACATCCGGTACCTTCCTTATCTCTAGACAGTTTAAGCTCTCAAAATCAGAAATCTATGATCTTTTTCTAAGAGCACAACAGTGAACTTAGTCTGGGCAGCCCTGGGCAAGCACGAAATTGGCTCCAAACTTCCTGACATTCCTGAGGTAGGAAGGCTTGTGTTATGAACTTTGAGCATCAAAAATGGACATATTCATCCATTCACTCATTCATCCATTCGTTCATTCATTCATTCATCATTCATCTAGCCAGTGTACGTGAGCATCTACTGCACGCCAGATGCAGTAATGTGCGAAACCAAACATAGTTCCTGACCTCCTACAGCTTACATTTTGTTAGGAGATCCAGTCGTTAATGACATAATCACATAAATAACCGTAAAACGGCAACTATGACAAAAGCCATAAAGGAGAGGTGTAAAGGGGGATCGTACTTAGGTCACTCAAGAATGGTTTTCCTGAGGAATCGATGACTGAAATCCGAGGAACAAATGAAATTTTCCTGGAGTGGAGGACCTAGAAGAACATCCCAAGCCAAAGGACCCACATGAGAAAATATGCTGGGACCAGAGAGAAAAACTAGTACAGGGATTGAGAAAAGGCCTCAGGGAGAAGCCCGAAAGGAGGCCATGATTCGGTGACACAGACTTGGTGGGCGCAGGGGTCAGGGGGTGGATTCAAAAGGCAGTCAGGGGATAAAACTGATAGGACTTGGTGATGGAGGGTGTATTTGTTATCTATTGCTGCATAACAAATTACCACGATCGAGCAGCTTAAAACCACATCCATCTGTTATGGCACAGTTTCCATGGTTCAGGAGTCCAGGCACGATAGAGTCCTCTGCAAGGCTGCAGTCAGGGTGTGGGCCTGGACAGGAGTCTCATCTGAGGCTCGACTAGGAAGGACCAGCTTCCAAGCTCACAAGCTGTTGAAGCACTCATTTCCTTGTGTGCTCCTGGATTGAAGCCCTCCGCTTCCGTCAGCCGGAAGCCACCCTCAGGTCCTCGCTGTGGCCCTCTCCATTCTGCAGCTCACAGCGTGGTGTCTTGCTTCTTCAAAGTCAGCAAGAGAGAGTCTCTTAGTGTTGCTGAAACTTGGCCTCTGTACACCGGCGCCGGATTAAATCTCGGAGACAGTTTTGGGTGAAATAGAAAGAAATAGCTTTATTGCTTTGCCAGGCAAAGGGGGCCACAGCGGGCTACTTCCCTCAAGACTGTGTGTCCCTCCCTGGAGCGGGAAGTGAGGAGTCTTACAGAGTTCAAGGAACAGGGCGTGGTCAGCTCATGGACATTCTTCTGATTGGTCGGTGGTGAGGTAATTGGGAATCAGCATCATCAACCTTCTGGTTCCAACTGGTTTGGGGTCGACGTGCTTGTGGCAGCGTGCCGTTAACTTCTTCCACTTGGTGTGGGTTTCAGTATCTGCAGAACAGCTCAAATGACGTGGCTCAGAATATTATCTAGAGTCCTTGAGGAAGAACTAAAGGTCCTTGACTTTGTTTAATGACTAAAGTATTATTATTTTGTCTTCTTTGACTGTTTTCCTTTCTTCCTGCATTTTCTCACTTCTTTGATTAAATTAATTCTTTGACTAAAGTTTTTCTACAGACAAAAGGCAGGTGGAGGACATGGGTGGGAGTCTATTCTGAGAAGGCCTCATAGGATCCTGCTGGGTCACACTAGCAGGATGGGTGTCACGAACCTGTGTGAAGGAATTACATCCACGTAACCACATACCTCCTGACACTTTTGCTGTACTCTATTGACCAGAGCAAGTCACACCAGCCACGTTCAAAAGAAGGTGACCACACAAGAGCTGAATACGAGGAGACGGGGATTGTGGAAGCCACCTTGGAGGCTATCTTCCCAAGAGGGATTCTGGGGTAGGGACACAGGGAGGTGTCAATCCTGGAAGGAGATATCGAAGGGGATACGGTGAGGAGTCGAGAAAATGATTTTGGTTGGGACATGTTGAGTTTGAGGTACTTTTTTTTTTGTTTTTTTTTCTTTGCTGTACGCGGGCCTCTCACTGTTGTGGCCTCTCCCGTTGCGGAGCACAGGCTCGGGACGCCCAGGCTCAGTGGCCATGGCTCACGGGCCCAGCTGCTCCGCGGCATGTGGGATCTTCCCGGACCGGGGCACGACCCCGTGTCCCCTGCATCGGCAGGCGGACTCTCAACCACTGTGCCACCAGGGAAGCCCTTGAGGTACCTTTGAGACATCCAATAGATGTCACATGAGTGATATTTGAACATGTGGATCTGGAGCTGGTAGGAAACATAAATTAATGAACCACGTTTAGATGAGTGGTAATTCAAGCCAAGTGTGGATGAGATTTGCCGAAGGAGGGAGTGTGGCATGAGGAGGACCCAGGATCAAGTCTTAAAGAATGCCATCAGTTAATCGCCGGGCAGAAGACGTGGGCCTGCAAAGCCGACAGAGAACAGGCGTCAAACCAGGAGAGCGATGTGTTCCACAAACCAAAGGGAAAGAGACACTGACCGTGTCATACTGCTGGGATTCATGTATGGTGATGACTAAAAACATCACCTCCACTTAGCCACAGAGTGGGAAATGACTGGTGAGCTTAGCAGGAACTGTTTTGGGGAAGTGATGAGGTGAAGCTAGGTTGGGGTGGGCTGAGAAGTGGATGAGAGGTGAGGAAATGGGACTGTATTGCTACTTTAGAGCATTTCTGCAGGGATGAGGCAGTTCATCTGTTAAAGGGATAGCAGAGAGCAGTGAGGGTTTCAAATAGTGGTGAGTGAGCGGGCAAGTAGGTGAGAGGCATGAAGGCCCACTGGGCCCAACAATGTCCTCAGCCAGAGATCACCAGAAACACACCTGCAGTCGTCGGAATTGGGTTATTACTCATCCCAGCCAGGGAGACTATTACCACGGGCAAACCTCAGTAAAGGGACGTGCAGAGGACTTACAACATTTGGGTCTGTGTTAGTTGATTTGGGGAAACATTTAAGGAAGCAGGGCTTTGCTCTGGATTGGATTATGCCAGGAAAAGGAGGCAATTCCTTGACTGGATGTCTTAATAAATCGTATCGCAAAGGCAGGAAGACTAGAGAAATCCTAAACTTGTAATTGGTAAAGAAGCAGCAGTCACTCTTATTGGCCAAGACAGAAGGATGTTTGGTCACTTTTGTGGCTTGGCCAACGCTCGTCTTTTCGTCTGTGTTCAGACATGAAGAGAGGGGCCTCGGTTTTGGCTTGATCAGTCATCAGAGCCTGATGTCGACGTTTTATGAACCTGTGTATATTCAACAGAACACCGAGGCCCAGCTGTGTGCCAGGCCAGCTCCCTAACGTCACTGCTCCCTGGAACCTGCCATGGACGCTCCCTTTCCCCTCCCCGCCACGTGCCCGGATGGCGGCAGTCGAGACATGCCTCCTCTCCACCCTGCATCTTAAGGGGCCGCTCTATGAGGCTTCGGCTTCTCAATCTCAAATTGGCCAGGGATGGAGGCCCACCGTGGCGGTGTGAGGATGAAGGGACGGAACCGATGTGAAAACCCCATAAAGCCTTCCGGGCCACCAGGGCTCACTACAGCTGCCCTCGAGCTCAGACATGTGTATCTGGAAGGGCCTTCTTGGTATCGGACGGCAGTGCCCAGGAAGAGCAGGAGGGGCCCGGGACGGGCGTCCGAGAGAAACATCTTACAATCCGCGGCGCATCAACCCTGCCGGCCCAGGTATCCGCTCGCGCAGCCGGCGAGGAGTAGACCTGTGCGCGTGCGCGCCGCCGCCCCGCCCCCTCACCGCCCCGCCCCCCCCCGCCGGCGCGCAGGCCGCTGGGGTGGCCGGGCCACGCCGCGCGCCGATTGGTGGCGTTCCGGGCCCGCCTTCGGGTGATTGACGGCTCCCGGGCCGCCACCGCCCAGCCGACGCAACAGCCGCCGCCGCCGCTGCCTCCGCCTCCGTCTCAGCCGCAGGGTGTGGAGCCCGCCGCCGCTCGCGGGCTGCGCGTCTGCCGCCGCCGCCGCCGCCGCCGCCGCCTCCGCCGCCTCCGCCTCCGCCGCCTCCGCCTCCGCCTCCCAGCCTCCGCCATGGACCTGTTCGGGGACCTGCCGGAGCCCGAGCGCTCGCCGCGCCCGGCTGCGGGTAAGCGGGTGGCCGCCCGGACGGTGAGGAGAAGGAGGGCGGGCGGGCGGTGGCCTTGAGGCCGCGGCGCCTGAGGCGGCGGCGGGGACGCGGGAGGGTGAGCGCGGCCTACACCGGCGCGGGGAGTTCGCGGTCTCCGCCATGTTCGCTGCGTAGGAGGAGGGGACCGCGGCTCGGAGACCTTTGTGTGCGGCCCACACGTGTGGCCGCCGCGGCCCGCGCACAGCCGCCGCCGTCCCCTCACGGGAGCCGCGCGCCGGGTCCGCCGGCCTGCGTCCGAACAGCTCGCCGTGTGGGCCGCGTCGTTCCGGGCGCGCTCCCAGTTGTGCGTTTTCTTCGGCTTTGTTTTTCGTCTCTACCCCGGAGATGGAAGTCATCGCTGACTCAGTCCTTGGGGTTGTGAGGCCCAGAAGAGAGGATTCATTCTCTCTGCTCCTCTCGTCGGATCTAACGATTCATGGTAGTTTTTGTGCTTTCCGGGGCCCCGGGAAGTGCCCGCTCTCCCCAGAGTGGAGGGCATTAGCCCAGGCCCGCTCCCCTGCCCGCCCCCGACCTCGGCCGCTGTGCCAGGTCCTTCCCGGAGGCTGGGGTTGGAGCTGCCCACGGCAGCAGCGCGGGGACCGCACGGTTGGTCCTGTGTGTCCAGCGGGTGACGGCCATGCCAGGTTGAGGTTGGCAAGACCTGTGAATGTGTTCACGGGCTAGGTACGCAGCTGGGTGCTGTGGTTTAGGGCTTTCTTTACGAGCCCAGCTTGGTGGCAGAAGACATGGAAAACTCTAAAAACGCATTCAGACTCCAGGCTCACCTCAGCGCCGGGTCTCAGTCTGAAAGCCTGCGGGGGGCGGGGGGCCCGCGTCTGCGGTAGGGGATCCGCGGGCGATTTGGGACCGCGCGGCGCGGGTCTGGAGAGCCTGGTTCGGGAACTGCCGTTGTAGCAGGGGAGGGGGAAGGTGACTGATGCCCAGCCTTTGCTCTCCAGGAGCCTAATTCTGCACGCAAGTGATGAAAATTGAACATGGCTAAGGTTAATGCCTGTGGGAAACACTGAGTGTCCAGAGGAGCGACGTTTGTAGTCCGTGGACAGAGAGCGGGGAAGGAGGTGGTGCTGGAATCTGGCCTCTCGGAAGATGGGTAGACTTGGGACTTGCAGAGACTCTAGGCAAGGGAACGGTGTGCCCTTTGGGGAACGTTTCGTTCTCTAGTTGGCCTGGGCGTACCAGCGTGGAGGGCTACTGTGACATGGGGCCCTAAAAGAAAGGCCCCCAGAGAAGGGGTTGTTGTGCCCTCCATGGGGCCTGGATTCTGGCTTGTCACACGTGGACCACCAGGCTGGCCAGTCTTTGTCGGGCCATTATTCCCAGTAACGGTGCCGTGACTTTTCCCTACCAGACATTCATCTTGTGGATTGTTTCTGAGATTTGTTTTCTAGAGTGTTCTAGGTACGGGTGAAAACTCTGGCTTGTGTATGCATTCTTCCTTACTCTGTTGATGGAGTATAACCTCTATCTGAATATGTTTGGGGCAGCGTTTGGACACGCAGATGTGCCTGTGGGCCTGTCATTTTCTTGAATCGCAAAGGGACCCTTGAAACGATACAAAACTTGACAACTCTTACAGGTTGGTGCTTGGGAGGGCGTACCCAGCCCTGGCTGAGATGACAGGGTGGCAGGGGTGCTGCGTGAAGTTTAAACGCCCCCTTCCCTGAAGCGTGGATTCGTGAACTGCTCCCTGCCTGTGGGGAGGGCACTGACACTGTCCTGCTTGGCTGAGTGTATGTTTTTAAATAGGCTTGAAAACAAAGAAGGCATGCTTTCTGAATTTGTAGCTGACAGAAAGCTGAGAGGGATAAGTACTAAAGTGAGTGACAGAATCGGGACCCAAAGTTATCTTGACAGGCATTTAGTTCAAACCAACAAGGTGAGTCTTAACAGGTTAAAAAAAATCATTTGAACAAGAACAGAATCTGATTTCACAATTTTGTGGAAATGCTTTGATTTTTGAAAACTTAATTCAAAACGTCATACTTTTTATTTCCGAAAAATTGATCATATTGATTGACAAAATTGAACGTAGAGAGAATGAAAGGAAAATAAAGTTGGTTTCATGAAGTGGATGGAGAGATGAGGCTAAATCGCACCATCATGACCCTCACAAAGGTTGTGCAGGTGCCACCAATTTCTGAGCTAATTCAGGGAACAATAAAAGACCTAGACACTTTCACAGTCCCCAAAAAGAGTTGTTCCAGACATGTTATCAGACTGTGTAGTTTCTGATCCCAACTGTGCTCTTGCTGTCTTCTGTGGCAGTTCCTGCTTCTGGGAAACATGAATGTCGCCTCCTCCTGTTAGCCCACAGGTTAGACAGGGCGCTGTGTGTACAGTATTTAGCACAGGTAGAGCACGAGGTCTGCGCTTACTAGATGCTAGTGCCTAGTAGATGCTATTCTATGAGTTAACTTTCACAGCCATTCAGAAGGGGAAAAAAATGCACTCTTAAATGGATTTTGTGAAAACACTAAGTGTCCAAAGGGAGGAGGTATCACACTCCTCAGATCACATCAAGTGTATTTTATTTAGTTCTTTGATTTTTGTTTTAAACATTACATCTAATGTTCCTACCCCAAGCCTCCTAATTTTTATGGTCTGAAGAAAAATGTGGAAAGAACGCATTAAATGTTTTCAGATTTTGTGCTAAATTAGGAGTTTTCATACCAGCCCCTAACATGTTTTGACTGCTGAGTGAAATCAGGTTTTTTATATACAGTATACATAGCTTACCTAAAAAAGGGAGTATGTTTGTTATTATCAGATAGAAATGGAATTTCTCTGGTACATCATACTCATAAAAGTGCTGACTTGATGTCTTTAAAGATTGACAGCTTATATTTGGCAGTCCAAACAAGTTAAAGGTGTCCTGGTTTAAAGTTGTTTGGGCAGTAACCTGGTTTCAGTTTTATAGGGTGGTTCTTTCACTACACCAGTACACTTTAAAGCTGATGGTCAACTGTCAGGGACCAAATAAATATTTGCTTGGCAGGCCATCTTCAAAATATTTCCTTTTAGAAAATTGGAGATCTAAATATAAAATAAAGGCTAAGATATTAGAAAAAACTTGGACTAATTGTAAAACTTCAGGGTTAATAAGAAAAAACTCAAGTCATAAAAATTAGAATGGATTTAGCTATGTAAAAATAAAAAGTTTCTGCAGGCAAAATAGCACAAAGGCAAAAGACAGACTGAGAGAAAGTGGTTGTGGTACACAATACTAAAGGTTACTATCCCTAGTAAGGGAAAGGCGCAGATGAATTAATAAGAAAAAGAGATGACCCGTTAGAAAAATGGTCAAAGGATGTGTCCTGACAGTTTATAGAGGAAGAAATGCAAATGACCCATCAACCAGAGCTTCCTCCGTCACTGGAAAGGAATAGCAAATCACTGATGTGCCATATTTTTCACCCATCAGATTTAAAAATTGGCAAGATGGTAATGAGGGTGTAGAGAAATGGATATTTTCATAAAGCGTGTTGGGGGTGAAAGTTACCACAACTTTTTTTGGAACAAATTTTGGCATTTGTCAGATTTATTTATTTACCCTTTGACCAGCAGTTAGCAGATAAAATAAGGATATAAGTCTAGGGTTGTTTATTGTGGCATGATTTGTCATGTAAAAAACCAGAATCATGCTGCGTGCCCATCAGTAAGGGAACCAGACCAAGTGAGTGGCAGTGCTTTCCATAGAGAATAGTGTGCGGCTGTTGAAGCGAATCGTTAGACCCAGTGTGATGGCTTACATGAATAATGATGTATGTAGAGTGTTGTGTGTAGTATACTTCTACCTTTTAAAAATTAAAATGCACATACACAAGTTCACGAGCATAAAGGAAAGTGGAAAGTATACAATAAACTGTTACGGTGGCGGGGAGGCGGGGCCTTTTTCTAAAACGTCTGTGGTATTTGGAAAACATGTACAGTAGTCCCTCAGTATCTGTGGGGGATTGGTTCCAGGATCCCCTTCGGATACCAAAATCCGAGGATGCTCAAGTCCCTTATATATCAATAAAATGGCCTAGTACAATGGCCCTCCGTATCCACAGGTTCCACATCCTCGGATGAGGAGGTCAACTGTGTCACATTTGTAGTTGAAAAGAAAATCTAGGTATAAGAAGCAATTTAGGCAAAATATTTAAAAGCTTGTTGCTTTACTGTACGTAGCAACTTATAGCTAATCTGAATATAATCAGCCCAAGAGTATTTTTCTCAGCATAGTATGTAACTTTCAGTAGACTTAGCTTCAGAATGTAGGTAACTTTAAAAACAAACCAACAATCTAGATAAGATTATCTGTAGTGGAAAACTTGTTTTCTGTCTTGTTTCTTTCTTTATGAGAGTTCTTATATTTAGAACTCAGGGGCCTCTTCCAAAGTTTAGGGTCAAGGTCACACTTGGTCCAATGATTGCAGCCCCAAATACTTTAAATTACTATTTATCCAAAACAGAGTGTAAGGTTCTGGCTAACCGGAAGTTCCCTTTATAGCATCTGTGACCTACAGATTGTTGTTAAAGAATCCAGATGCAAGCTATTCTAACTCTGACCCTTTCGATGGTGCAAAAAGGTGTCCCAGAGATCTTACAGGGCCTCGGGATTCTCCTTGTGGGGTTGTGTAAGGGTTAAATGAGATGATCCTTGTGAAGTTCCTAGAACAGTGTGGGGTGGGGGCAGTGTAGCACGTCGCCAAGAGCATGGGCTGGGAAAGCAGGCTGCCTGGGTTTGGATCTCCACTCCTCACTGGCGCTCTCTTGAACAGTTATTTAACCTAAGTGCCTCAGTTTTCTTATCAGTAAGTTACAATAATAATAGTACCCACCTCATAAGATTATTGTAAGGATTAAATCCATTAAAATTTGTAGAGCACTAGAATAGTTCCTGGCAGGCAGCGAGCGTTAATTATCATTTATATAAGCCATTTTCAGTTGTGGCCAACAAAAATATGAGATGATCTCATTGTGTTTAATTGAAATACCACTCACAGTATTCCAGAGTGACAGAGGAGAGGAGAGGCTCATTCTGTTCAGCATGGGAAGATGAGCCCTTCTCTGGGGCTGGTGGTAGGTTTGAGGAACTGACTTAGACTGAGTTGTCGCCAAAGGAGAGAGGCCAGGCTAGTGCTAAGCTGGAAACTCTATTATGAGGAATGCTTGCCAGGACCGAAAATGTATTAATACCTGGGTAAAAGAGGACTTTGCCCCATTGGACATTGGATTTGGAAAGACCTGATTTAGATGGGTAGTTTAATTCAAAAATTAAAATCGGACCCTGCGTAAGTAGAAGGGTTGATTGTCCTCAGGTTGGCCTCCTCCCTATAATGTCCCCCTCTCCCAAGATGTCTGGTGCTCTGGCCCCGCTGAATCCAGTGTGATTGTTCTGGGTCATCCCATTCAGTTTTGAGTCTGTTGGAATGGGCATGTTGATGCTTAGACCAATACAGTTTGAGTTTCCCTTGGAAGTGGCTTGCTAGAATATTAGCAATTCTTGTAGGAGGATTAATACAGTGAGTAAATGGTTATCCTAAATGCCTTTTAGTGTCCTCCTAATGCTGTTTTTTGGATACTCCCCACAGAGTCTTTATGTCACTTGTGAGAAAAATGAAAGTATTTGTAATTACTTAATGTCTTTAGGGTAATCCTAAGGGATAAAAATGTAATTTATGGAGTCACATTTCCCATTTGCATTAGGGGTATAAAGCAGAAGAGTTACTTTTTATTAAATTAGGAATTACCAGGTATTTAATGTACTTCTGACCTAAAGACTCCTGAAGAAATTTCCTTTCTTGGAGTTTATAAATTTTAATTAAAATTTTTACTTTTTTAAAAAAGTAAAATTGATACCCAGCTCATTTCTAGGCAAAAAGACAATATGGATGAAACTTTTAGAGCATACACATTGAATTGGTTTTTACTTTTGTTTTTTTTAAGAGGGTATTAAATTGTTTATTTATTACACTTGATAGTGGATGATACACAAGCTTCATTCCCATCTATATCTGGTACCATAATCCAATTTAGATGTATTGCATAGGATGTGCCAATAATCATATATTAATAATCAAAAAACTCCATGACTTGGCTTGGGTGACCCTTTTCACGGTGAACTCCAGGTCACAACGCAGTAACTGTCAGTTCAACTACACCAAGGTTTCGGAAGACAGTAGCTTCTCCACCAAAGCAGGTTGTAAATAACTTTTGAATGGAACCTGGCATCACCTTGAAGGAATACTAACTTCACACTGTTGGGGTAGTTTACCAAAATGGCTTCAGAGTAGACTAACTTTACACAGTACATTTAAAAAAAGGACACATTTATTCAGCGTCATGATCAGACTATTACGTTTAGCAATCAACAGCATGGGTGCAAAAAAAAAAAAATCTACATTAAAACGCTTTGTTGGAATGCTTTACACTTTCCACAGAACAGAAACTAAAATAACCTGTTATACAGTCACAAATACAGTCCTCGAGTTTTTTTGCCCATACACATGAGTATTGTCTAAAACATGTCTTCTTTGTAGCAGCTAGGCCCTGCCACCACTGTGCTTGGCTGAGTTCACAGATCTGTTGTAACCTGTAGCTTCCCTGTCACTTCTCTGGCTCTCCTCTCCTGCTAAGCTTTGTTTCCTGGCAGTAATCAAAACCTCCTGCCACTGCTGTAGCTGCTGCTGCTGCTGGAACCACCACAGCCACCTTGGCTTCAGGGTTTAGCAAAGTATTGGCCTCCACCGCCATAGGGGCCAGAACTTCTGCCTCCAAAGTTTCCTCCTTTCATGGGTCCAAAATTTGAAGATTGATTGTTGTAACTGCCAAAATCATTGTAGCTTCCACCATCTCCAAAATTGCTTCCATCATGACCAAATCCATTATAGCCATCCCCACTGCCACCATATCCACCACCACCGCGGCTGCCACCAAAGCCACCTCGGCCACTGAAGTCTCCTCCACGACCAAAGTTGTCATTCCCACCAAAACCCCCTCCACGACCACCACCAAAGTTTCCAGAACCACTTTGACCTCTTTGGCTGGATGAGGCACTAGCCATCTCTTGCTTAGATGGGGCTTTCCTTACTTCACAGTTGTGGCCATTCACAGTGTGGTATTTCTGAATGCGAATCTTGTCTACAGAGTCATGGTCATCAAAGGTTACGAAAGCAAAGCCTCTCTTTTTACACTGCCTCGATCAGTCATGATTTCAAACACTTCAATTTTCCCGTACTGTTCAAAATAATCTCTTAGATGATGTTCTTCAGTGTCTTCTTTAATGCCACCAACAAAAATCTTTTTCACAGTTAAGTGGGCACCAGGTCTTTGAGAATCTTCTCTTGAGACGGCCCTCTTTGGTTCCCCAACTCTTCCATCTACCTCGTGTGGCCTTGCATTCATGGCCGCACCCACCTCCTCCACAGTGGCATATGTGACAAACCCGAAGCCTCTGGAGCGTTTGGTGTTTGGATCCCTCATTACCACACAATCTGTGAGCGTTCCCCACTGCTCAGAATGGCTCCTCAGACTGTCATCGGTTGTTTCAAAGCTCAAACCTCCGATGAAGAGCTTCTGCAGCTGTTCGGGCTCTTTGGGTGACTCTGACTTAGACATGACGGCAGTGGAGGGGCGGAGGGGAGATGTCAACGATGCTTACTCTGCGGCGTCCATGAGCAGAAAGGAGTAATCTACCGAACGTATCTCTGAATTGGTTTTTAAATGAGTACATTTCTGTACTTGAGCTCAGAGGAGAAAGATCAGTGTGTTGAACTTCATAGGACGTGGATGTCCACACCTTCATCTTTAGCCCTCTGTTTCCCCCACGTTCCTGTGGGCCAGTTCATGTATTTCATAGCTTCAATAGAAATTTTGGGGAAAGCTGGAGAAGGAATAATGGTTACATTTTATGTGGAAAGGGATAATTGAGTATAAAATATTTCAGATAAGTACTTTTGGTAGGTAAATCTTTAGGTTTTTTTGTTTTTCCGGTACGCGGGCCTCTCACTGTTGTGGCCTCTCCCGTTGCGGAGCACAGGCTCCAGACGCACAGGCTCAGTGGCTGTGGCTCATGGGCCCAGCCGCTCCGCGGCATGTGGGATCTTCCCGGACCAGGGCACGAACCTGTGTCCCCTACATCGGCAGGCGGACTCTCAACCACTGCGCCACCAGGGAAGCCCAATCTTTAGGTTTTTAGATAGAAAGTTTCCTGGCTTTCTCCTGAGTTTACCTTGGAGTATCTGAAATCCCTCGTTTTCTTCGTAGATATTTATTGAGTTGGGCACTGTGCTGTTAAGGCAGATTGGCTTCCCTCAGGCCTCTCACCATCTCTGTGCTCCGTGTGCTTAAGATTCTCCCTGGTGGTTAATTCAGAATGGTACTGAAATAGGATTTTTAAGACCTGTAGATCTTTGAAGAGTCCCTTTATTTCTGAAGTTCTGTATTGAGGTACCAAGATAGAATTACTGTTTTGCTCTAGAGTCAGTTTTTTCTTCCCAGGATTCACTTTTAAAGAAAGATTTTAAAATATTTGTTCAATAGTGAAATTATCAAAAAAAATGCTTGTTTCCCTCAAAACACCCAATAGCCCTTAAAACGCCTGTTGGGTCATCTTTCATTGCTTGTATTATATGTTGACTGTAACTTTTTGGAAACAAATGTCCGTATTAAATGGCTGTCAAGAAAATATTTTTAAAAAATAAGCTTTGTCCAGCAGGGGGGAGAAGATTTGAATTTAATGGCAAACTTAAAGATGTCCCCCTTTGAATCCCATCTGGCCAATGACCAAATGCTCTCTAAGCAGGTGTTCCGTGTTCTAGGGAAAGAAGCTCAGAAAGGATCTCTGCTCTTTGATGATCTCCCTCCGGCCAGCAGTACTGACTCAGGTACAGTCTTCAGGCTCTCCCAGGTGTGTGTCAACATGTCATCCTGGGATTGTAGTTGTCTCAATCTTTTTCCCTTTCCCCCATTTTCAACACACAGATGTTTTAGGTGTTGGACTGTCTTAAGTTTTGAATCCATGGCATCAGGTAAGGCAGAAAAATCCGCTAGTCGCTAGCCCTGAGAAACTGCATAAAAGCGTTGAGCAGTTTTCTCTGGTTCATTTGAGTGTTTAATATACTAGCTGGAATAAGATTTAACTCTTTAAGGCAGATTTTTTTGTTTCCTTTGAAATGATAGGACTTTAAAATAGGTTCAAGACATTATTTAGCACTGTATGAGTTGCCACTGGATTGACACAAGAGTTTTGAGTTTATTTCAATGACCTGTGTAGTTTATTTCAATGACCTGTGTCCTGGTGGGATGGATTCTGAAACTTAAGCCTCCTCCTGGTTTTGTGGGCTCACTCAGTGTTCTGCTGTGTTTCAGGATCGGGGGGACCTTTGCTTTTTGATGATCTCCCACCAGCCAGCAGTGGTGATTCAGGTAAGTGGTAGGCAAAAATGTCCAATGTGCTGGTGGAAATAATATGCACTGTTTTACCCTTACGTAAAATTTATTTATTTATAGCTTGTAACAAGCCTTAGGATGATATTAAATCATAATACAACATAAGGTTTATTAAAACTGAATAGATACCGGGAATTTCTTGGCAGTCCAGTGGTTAGGACTCAGTGCTTTCACTGCTGGGGCCAAGGTTTGATCCCTGGTTGGGGAACTAAGTTCCCACAAAAAAAAACCCTAAATAGATACCATTAGGTGGGAGCAAAAAGATGCTTAAATGCTACATCACTTTTTGGTGATTATTTTTTACTTCTTGCAACTGACTTTTAAGAAGTGAAGAGTCCAGAAATTTACTTTGATCTTTGTTATTAACGTTTTTTTTTTAACTTAATTAATTAATTTAGTTTTGGCTGTGTTGGGTCTTCGTTTCTGTGCAAGGGCTTTCTTTAGTTGTGGCAAGCAGGGGCCACTCTTCATTGCGGTGCGCAGGCCTCTCACTATTGCGGCCTCTCTGTTGCGGAGCACAGGCTCCAGACGCACAGGCTCAGTAGTTGTGGCTCACGGGCCTGGTTGCTCCGCGGCATGTGGGATCTTCCCAGACCAGAGCTCGAACCCATGTCCCCTGTATTAGCAGGCAGATTCTCAACCACTGCGCCACCAGGGAAGTCCCTGTTATTAACGTTTAAAAGAAAATCTCAGTCTGTCATTCTGGTTTTGCCTTGTTATATTCCTGACAGACCCAAATGTATCCAGCAGAAGTGTCTGAATATATGAAGTACAGTTAAAATATTTTCAGTTTCCTGATAAATAAGTCATTTGTTTTATGCCACTTACATTAAAAAGAATTTTGATTTTAAGAAAATGAAGTCAGAATGACACTGCTTTACTGACTGGTATAGACCATGTGCAGGAATTTGAATTCTTGAAATTCAAGACCTTAGTTAATTATTTTCCAGTCAGTCCTTTTATGTTCTCAAGATTCTTTTTATTGATTTGGTTTCATTTTTGTCAAGCCTATTAACATTGGCTCTACCTGTTCCTGTAAATGTTTAACTTTTCCTTTTATGTCCCAATTACACAGAAGGGGAAAATAGAGCCGATTCTTCTAGGTTGTCATATATGACGAATGTATTATTCCACTAACTGAGAACTTCTCACATGGAATTCCCCCAAAGGGAGGGGGAAGGTAGGGCAATGGTGGGGGACAGTGGGGATGCAGGCTGTCCTTTCTCATGTGCAGTTATCCTCTAGTGTAAAAAACCTTCCTTATGTTGTCAAATAGAACACTTGCTGCTTTTCAGGTATATTCTTTGTATTATTAATTCTTTACCATAAATTCATTGGAATTAGTCTAGAAAGTATGGATTAAATTAGGTATCATTCCTATATTTAGAAAAAGTATCACAATCGTCTTACATAAGAAGTCTCAGGTTTTCAGGCTATGTATCCATACCAAAAAATTACAGCATTCTCATACAATCTACCCTAAAACCTTCCCAATAAAGACAGTGCACTTAGTTAAAATGAAAGTTAACGTGTGCAAGTAGGGCTCTGAACAGATTTAATTTAAAAAAGGAAGATTCAGCATAGTTACATCTTAGTTATCCACAGGGCAAAAGGCAATAAACTAGTAGCGACTTAGAAGACGTCAACACCATTGTTAACAAGCTTGATTTTTTTGGATATAGAATCCAATCTTGTATGCAGTATTTAGGCTTTCTTGAGAAGACATATCTTTCTTCTCAAGCAGGCAAGAGCCATTTACAAAAATTGACTGCATTCTAGGCCATAAAGTAAGTCCCAGTAAAGAATCAGCTTCATATGTAGACCGCATTCTCTGATGACAATGTGATTCACTTAGAAGTCAATGACAGTTTAAAACATTTCTCTGTCTTTCAATTTAAAAGAAAGGAAGATTCTTTTACATACACATTGGGAAAACTGGAACACAAACAGTAAGTGACAGGAGGCTAATGAAGAGACCTTTGGGGAATCCGTGACATTGTCCCAGTTAATTTGCCTTACTATGTGGGGTGGGATGTGTGTGTTATACTGTTGCAGAAATCTGTCCTTTGCAAGTAATTGACCCTTCTTGCAGGCAGGGACATTTCTTTCCTTTTTTTTCTCAGTACTCAGAAATGTCTGGCAAAGAATAGTTGAATAAATAATAAATGGTTGCATGCTTTTATACCTAAATGCAGAGAATACTTAGGGCCATTTATTGGATACTTGATGGACCAGGCACTGTGATGAATGCTTTACATACCTTCTCCCCAGCAGTTTTCAAACAAGCCCCTGAGAGGACAGTATTCGCCCTATTACAGGTGAAGAAACTGAGGCTGAAAGGTTAAGTAACTTGCCTTAAGGGCACACCCCTTGGAAGTGGCAGAACTGAGATTTGAAACTAGACTTCTGTTGTTCCAAAATGCATACACACTGCAGGTGCTCTTAGCTCTGGCTTTGAATACAAATTCGTCCCTTTGCAAGTGGGAATGGCTTCAGCAGTCCTATTTTGCCTTTCAGGATACATACAGTTCTTAAAGCCTGATGTTTATTTTAAGCCTTTTTTGGCACTTGTTACTCTTTTTTTTTTTTTTTTGCGGTACGCGGGCCTCTCACCGCTGTGGCCTCTCCCATTGCGGAGCACAGGCTCCGGACGCGCAGGCTCAGCGGCCATGGCTCACGGGCCCAGCCGCTCCGCGGCATGTGGGATCTTCCCGGGCCGGGGCACGAACCCGTGTCCCCTGCATCGGCAGTTGGACTCTCAACCACTGCGCCACCAGGGAAGCCCTACACTTGTTACTCTTTTGAACTGGTTCAGGACGTTTCACTTTGCAGATTTGGGAAACATAAATTATAAGTAAGGGCTTTCGGATGTAAAACATCATATATGTGCCATAGCCCCAAGATATGAATGTGTATTTTTACCACTGAGAAGCCTCTCTTGCATGTCCTCTTATGCCAGTCTGAGCAGGGCCTGGATCTTAATTTGTGGTCTCCCACTGTGGGTGCCCAGGCACTGCCCCACCCCTCAAAGTCATAGCCGTGACTGCTGTGCCTCTCTCTCTGCCAGGCCTCTCTCAAATGTCTTTTGTCTCTGAGGGCTGGGAGGGAGCCTGGTCTGCTAGGGACTCTTACCGTCTACAGCTGTGTTTCTGTCTGGCTTTGACTTTATATTTCCAGGTTCTCTTGACACTTCGATATCCCAGGTGGTAAAGAATGAAGGGAAAGGAGCAAAGAGAAAAACCTCTGAAGAAGAGAAGAATGGCAGTGAAGAGCTTGTGGAAAAGAAAGTTTGTAAAGGTTTTCAGACAGTTTGAAAACAAATGTATTAGACTTCATATTGTAAAACAACCCAGAGCAAAAAACAAGCTCAGCTTTCCGACGATATTGGGTTGGCCAAAAAGTTCGTTCGGTTTTAAGTAAAAATAAAAGATATTTTTCATTTTCACCAAGAAGTTTATTGAATAATGTATTCATTAACTGAATGACCTTTTTGGCCAACCCAATACTTCCTTTTAATGTCTGTATTTAAGAAGTGGATAGGGTTTCTTATTTGCAAACGGATTTCCAAGTTTACTTTTGCTTCCTCTCTCTCTTTGGTCTCCATGTACATCTGTTACCTTTGGTCAGATAGGAAACCTGCATTTGTCTGTCCTTCAAGGGTTAAAAACCACAGGTAGTTCTTACTTAGCCTTCGGCAGTGAGTGTTTAGCTTATTGGCCCCCCAGTTCCTTGTCCCCAGCCTGTTGGTTAGCACTTGGAATTCTGTGAATAGCTCAGTAGGCAGGTCCCAAGAGACAGCCTGAGGCTGGAAAAAGCAATTGAAATTTGCAGTCAACTTTGTAACATGTCACAGTGAGCGGGGAAGAAATGAAAAGTATCAGCTAAAGAGAAAAACTGTGGATTTTCACTTATTGCACCGGCCACTTTGTCTTGTGCCATAAGTGATCTCAAGGCAGAGGCTGTAGGCTGCAGTGGAGGCGTGAGAGGACCTGCTCCGCCTCTGCTGTGAAGACGTGCGCTCAGCTTGGCTTGTCACTGCCTTGAGCCTGGAGAGCACTGTGCCTGCCACCAGCCGCTCTTCAGAAAGCGCTCATTCTATCACTTCTATGGCTCTAGGTGTCAGAAAAAGCTTAAACCAGCCATTAAAGAGAAATTTCTGCGCCTCCAGTGAACTCCTTTTTCCTTTCCTTCCTCAGTTAAAGTAAAAGCAGCTGATCTTACCATTTGTTCAAATTCTTCCAGCCTCAAGCATGGAAATATATATTTCCAGTGTATCCAACAGGGCATTAGGGATAAACTCTACTTGCTTGCATTCCTCTAAACTAGAAATTTTTTTGTCCTTATTAAATTATTGACAGACTAGATTTGCACAGAATTCCTTGCCCCGGTTCAAGTCCCACTTCTGTGGGACGACAGCACATTCCTTGCTCTGGTGCTTTGACTTAATGCCCTCGCAAGAGAAGCCATTCTGTACTAACTTGCTGTCGTCTGCTGTCTCCTTTCCACTGCTCAGCCTTGCAGAAACCGGCCCTGTCCAACAGCGGTCTGAGTCCTGTAACAGACTTGCAGCCCGGGAGGCGCCTGGAGGGGTGCAGCTTATTTGTTTGCAGCATTAGGGCACTGCCGAGTACAACAGCCATAGCTCCCTCTCATTTGCTCTGGGACTAGGGCTTCTGGAGAGAAGGGCACAGTTTTGTATTGGCTTTTTGCTCTCTTTTTCTTAGGCTCTTCGGTGATCTTTGGTTTGAAAGGCTATGTAGCTGAGCGGAAGGGCGAGCGGGAGGAGATGCAGGACGCCCATGTCATCCTGAATGACATCACCGAGGAGTGTAGGCCCCCCTCCTCCCTCATGTGAGTGTCTGTGCTCCAGCAGCCTGATGGCATAAAAGTCTCTGTTCTGATGGGAACTTTGGGCTGTATCCAGTTTGTGTTATTTAGAAAGACATATTTCTTGAGCTGCTTGGTTCAACATCAGTAGTTCTCAGCTGGGGTTGGTTTTGCCCCCCAGGGACATTTTTGGTTGTCACAGTGGGGGATGTACTACTGGCATATGGTGAGTGGAGGCCAGGATGTTATCCTATAGTGCACGGGTTAGCCCTACAACAATTGTCCTGCTGAACTTGAGAAACCCTGCCAATTGGGAAATGACTCTCCCTATTTTGGGTCTTGGGGTGTGTGCTTTCCACCAGTACCTGAAGAGGTTCTGACAGATAGTATTCTTATTCTTTGACCCAGGAGATAGAGGTAGAAGCTGCTAATTACAGACAGAGGTGAATGGTGATCCGGGAGAGCTAGTGCATATAGTGAGGGCCCAGAAAGAGAACAAAAAAGCAGAAATGGCATCAAGAAGATTTCCTGCAGTTGTACAAACTAAAATGAAGGAAAAGGCATGGAGGAAAAGCCATTGCTCACCAAGAGCAGGAATATGCTTTGGAGTTGTTTTTGAACCCAGGAAAGGGGCTTCTGGAGAGCCCCACGGGGGTAGATATTTTCGGGATAGATTTAATTGAGGAACACTACGCCATAACTAGCAAATACTACGCTGTAAGATTCTGAGTTATCAACCACATGAAATTTATTTTTTCATGGCTTGTGATGCCTCAAATTGAAAAGGAATTTCAAAAATGTTCGAAAAAAGAGCAGCTCTGCAGAATAAATGTCATTTCTCATAGGCATTTTTGTTCTATCCTTCTTGAAACAGTTTTTTAATGACATTTATTCTATTTATGTTTTTTGGCAAAACTTGAAAGGGGAATAGGAATAAGACTAGTAAGATAGGCTTTAAGAATTCTATATTGGTCAGAGTTTGAGCAAGAATCCTGAAATTACCTATTCTGTCTCTCATAGATTTTTTAAAATAATTTTTTAATATCTTTATTGGAGTATAATTGCTTTACAATATTGTGTTAGTTTCTGCTATACAACAAAGTGAATCAGCTATAACTCTTACAGATATTTTTGACTGTCTTGGATCAGTAACTGTTTATCTGTGTGTTAGTGTTTGAAACTAAATCTGCTTTAAATAGAAAAAAGTTCTGAATTTTAGTTTAGTGAAAAGTCAGGGTTAATAGATCTTGATTTTTAAAAACAAGTGTGAGTTTTTAATTCTTAATTTAAAAATGTCACGGAAGTTACTTAAATGTTTGTCTCAGGTAATGTTAATGTTCGCTGTCTAAGAGTTAACAGCTTTTATGGAGAGGAGTAGTCTTTGCCGTGAGAATCTCTCTGACTCTCAGTTCATTGTTCTAGTACCCGGGTTTCATATTTTGCTGTTTTCGATGGACATGGAGGAATTCGAGCCTCAAAATTTGCTGCACAGAATTTGCATCAGAACTTAATCAGGAAATTTCCTAAAGGTGAGACTGAGAGCTAAATCGGTTCATGTTCATCTTGGTGTTGGCTGTTTGTGCTGATCAGTGACATGTCACTGGCTTTAGCAGAGTCCTTGGTGACTCTAAAAGAGCAGGGATGGGCTTCCCTGGTGGCGCAGTGGTTGAGAGTCTGCCTGCCAATGCAGGGGACATGGGTTCGTGCCCCGGTCCGGGGAGATCCCACATGCTGCGGAGCGGCTGGGCCCGTGAGCCATGGCCGCTGAGCCTGCTCGTCCGGAGCCTGTGCTACACAACCGGAGAGGCCACAACAGTAAGAGGCCCGCGTACTGCAAAAAATAAAAATAAAAAAAAAATAAAAGAGCAGGGCTGAGAGGAGGCGGCTCCGAGGTGAGCAGGTGCAGTGGCCGTGCAGGTGTGCCTAGTATGGAACTTCTCGTGTCTCTGAGTGATTGGCCCCTCTCGTGGAATGTCTTTGGGTACAAGTGAGTGTCTTGCCTTTGTATTTGGGAGACTACTAAAACCAAATGCAGATGGTACTTAAAGGTGAGGAAGTACAGGTTGTTCTTGGTCGTAATACAGAAACAAAATGACAGTGGCGGGAGGATAATCTTCCTTCCTTAAGAGTTTGTTTTCTTTTGTTCCTTCTGTAATAGGAGATGTAATCAGTGTAGAGAAAACCGTGAAAAGATGCCTCTTGGACACTTTCAAGCATACTGATGAAGAATTCCTGAAGCAAGCTTCAAGCCAGTAAGTGTAATAACCACATGAAAACACATGAGTGGAGCACGCGTGTTGTTTTCCTAAATGCATTCCAGGCCTGCTAATGCAGTTTAATGCTAATGCTCACTGTCTGAAAAGTTCCTAGCACCAAGTAATCTCTCACAACTTAACGAAATCTGGAACAGAAAAAAGCACGTATCAAAGAAACCATCCATTTAAAAAGTATAAGACACTCCCCATTCAACTCTGGAAATTAGTATCAAAGTGCTAGCATGTTGGTGGTGACTGTATTTCTGATGTGTTTCCCCCCAGGAAGCCTGCCTGGAAAGATGGGTCCACTGCTACCTGTGTTCTGGCTGTAGACAACATTCTTTATATTGCCAACCTCGGAGATAGTCGGGTATGTGACTCTGGAGCCACCTGTTTAGATAACAGCACGTCACATGGGAGAAGAGCTGTAGAAGCACTTGCTGGATAAGATTACGGTGATGATGGCTGGGTTGGAATCTTCTGTTGGGGTTGCTGCAGGGGGTTCTGCTGCAGGGTTTAAGCTCTGGGTCAGGGAACAGCAGCTAAGCTTGAGGCTGTTTGTTCTCTGAGAAGGCTTATACCCTGTCTGTCAGGTACAGAGCTGTGAGTTGGAATTTAATTGGCCTGCAAGTACCTTAAATATTCATCTTCATTTTTCTGACCTCAGGCCATAATGAATGAATAACTCAAAAGCTGTAGCTAGAAAGTGCTAGATGATGTGACATATATCCGTTGAGCCCAGTACACCTGGCTGAGGGAGAAACCCGATGATTTCCCACTGGTGACATCCTGTGTCCCAGTCCCAGTTGTGGGGAATGACTCAGAGCTGGAGGGCGGTGCTCTGCAGGGCCTCTGCAGTCCCTCCCACCTCCGCTGCCAGGAGCGGATGTTCACCTCCATTGCCGCTTGCTTTTCAGCCATTCTCCATGCTTGTTCAGCAGTCACTGGACAAAGTGACCTTCCCACTCTTACTAGCATCTTCAGACGTGGAAATAGCTGCTCCCACCCCTGTTGCTTTTAGGGTAATCTATAAATATGGAGCGCTAGGAGCTGTAGCATCACAGACGACAGCCCTGCCCTAGTGGAGTTCATATTCTGGTGATGTTTTAGTGGGTCTGTCTAGTGGACTGTCTCTTGTACATAGGTGTTTAGATCAAAGGACTTAAAAAAACAACATGAGTAAAATTGGCCAAAAAAAGAGAGACTTTGGAGTCAGGCCCAAGTTTGAGTCCTGGCCTTGCTCTCTGACTCTAGGCACGATGCTTATCTCCTGGGCCTCAGGCTTCTTCCTCTGTAGAATAAGAGGTTTGTCTGGAAGTTACCACACAGTAAACATGGTGGCGGGAACCCACGGAGAGGTACTTGGTCAGCCCACCAAACTGCCCTCGTCTTTGCCATTGTAAACTCTTGGAATGGTAACGCCTAAAGGGGCCTTGGTACCTGTTAGGTCCTCCCTTTCACGTCACAGGTGAGAAGATAATGGCCTAGTGAGGGTGAGCAGTGAGCTGTGGTTATCCAGCAGAGTTTGCACCAGAGTTGAGACCCAACCCTGGGGCTTCTCTCCCTGAATTTTTTTGTGACACCACTTTGCTGCTTGTACTTTTGATGCTGGATCCACTGACCTCAAGTTTGTCAGCAGGAGGCTGAATCTGAAACTCCATTGTGAGCCTTTCTCTTCAGCTGTCAACTTTAGGTGCTGGGCTCATTAAATTTCACAGCCAGCGTACTCTCCATCTTCCCAGGCAATCCTGTGTCGTTACAATGAGGAGAGTCAAAAACATGCAGCCTTAAGCCTCAGCAAGGAGCATAATCCAACCCAGTATGAAGAACGAATGAGAATACAGAAGGCTGGAGGGAATGTCAGGTAACCGGGGGGTGACGGGAACTCGGGAAGGAGGGTTCACTTATGTAAAAGCAACCTTGAGACCTCTGAGGGTGGAACGTTCTGTGTCATGCAATCTTCAGCGTAATGAGACTCTGTATGAGGTCTAACCTGGTGAAGTTGAAGTAGGTGAACGAATGTTGTAGGATTTCACCTGTGTCCAAGTGGGAGCAAAAAATGTATGCAAGAAACATGCTTCCCTACGTTTGCAAAAGGAGACCTGTCTCAAATTCAAGTTCACCGTTGGCAGCATTGTCTCTGGTCCTGGTAACTCTCATAACATTTGTCATTTGTCACAACCCGGTAAGCTACAGTTTTCGGCAAATTCTCCAGAGAGAAAATCTAAAGTGGTTAAGACAGTAAATGTAAGACATTAGTAGTGTGTGCTGATCACCTCTGGTCTTCCTGGGGAACAACTTATCTAGCCCAGAGGGCCGCTCTTACCTGGCTGCGTCCGTGGCAATGCCAGTTCATCTCTCTTTACGCCTTTAAAGAGTGTGTGCCAGCTCTAGTTTATCGTCTGCCATCTCTCAGGTAGCTGAAGGAGGGCTTAAGTCTTTTCTGCACTTTAGGAGAATTATACTTTAAGGACATTGCATTATGAATTTGATCAGAGGTGTTTTCTGGTTCATCTTACAGTTTGACCCCATGAGGATTTTGTCTCCTGTTGGAGATAAGGGAGAAGTAATATATCAGTGTAAGAGTGCAGTTATTTGTCCTTGGATGTGTAGTTTCTCTTGTTGTTTATTTGGGGCAGTTTTTATTATTGCTTCAGGCTGTTTCTAGCCAGGGGTGCAGGGAGGTCTCTGGAGAGCAGTTAGAATTCTTAGGGTTGGTTAAAAAAACTGGGGTAGTCAAAGGTGATTTGGGTCTTGGTTGTGGCTGTCTACATGAGCGTCGACGGAACTGTAGGCTGGGTTCAGACCTTGGCCAGTGCTCTATGCCTGACTTCTCCCCCATGACTGCTGTGGAAGTTAATGCCCGAGAATGTGACCCCAGTGTTAGTGTCAGCATCACCTTTCCTGCCCTTTATTATAACTTTAAAATGCTGCTTTTGCCTGAACTCCTTGAAAAGATTTTGACATTGGCAGTCCTATGGCTGAAAGTAAGATTAGCTGCATTGCATTTACTTCCTGTTTCCCAGTCCCTACTTGCTAAGAACAGCGTGGGCTTAGGGTGAGCCCCTCAATTTAGAGAAACGGGGTGGGAGGCTCAGAGACAGCAGGGGCTTTCTGTTCCTGAGCAGCAGGGCCAGGCTGTGGCCCATCTCCTGCCTGAGGCCAGAGGTGGCATGCTTTTTCTTTTCCACCACCCCCTCCTCCTTTTATTATTAAAATTTTCAAACATGCAGAAAACATTTTAAAAGAGTAAACATTTCAATCTCTACCACCTAGATTCAGTAGTTAACATTTTGCCATTTTGCTTTGTCTATTTATGTGTGTGTTTGGCTGAACTATTTAAAAGTTAGTTGCAGACATAACACTTAAGAAAATAATAATTCCTTAGGTTGTATTAGGTTATCTAATATCCCGTCTGTACTCGTATTTCCCCAGTTGTCCCCACAGTGTCTCTGTTTGAAACCAGGGTCTGGTGTGTTCGCATCTACCTTGGACTCACATCTTTCCATGTAGAATCGTCTCCACTTGTACTAGGCTTGGATCATCACTAGTCAGCACTTGTATAGGGTCACCAGTGCTGTTTTTTCATAGTATTGTTTAAGTTGCTTGTGTGTATTTCTTGTAAACTAGAAGTTAGGTCTAAAGGCTTCTTTAAATTCAGATAAGACATTTTCAGCAAAAATATTTGATGGGGGATGCTATGTACTTTTGATAGTCCCTCACTTCAGTAGCCATGTAAGGTCACTGGTGCGATACTGATTCCATGCTGGCTACCATGGCTACCGTGTGGTGACAACAGATGGCTCCAGAGTGAAAGGACGTGATTCTGTGTAATCAGCCCATGATCCGGGGAGATACACTTGAGCACCGCGTGAACACGGTGGCCCACCAGCCTTTCAGCTGACGCTTTTAGCATCCCTTAGTGATCCTTGCATGAATCATTTATTTCCCAGGGATGGCAAAGATGATCATCTACTTCTGTGCTTCCTTCTACGTGTATTGACAGGCATCCTATAAAGGAAGGCTTTCCTTCATCAATAGGGGATGAACCATAGTTTCTCCCTGAAAGCAGGGTAAATGTTGAATTCTTTAATCACCATTTGCAGAGTGAGAGCCACCCACAGTTGTGGAAACTAGTGTTTTCTTTCCCTTCTCTGCTTCTCTCCATCCCCTTTTCCTTGCTCCATGAGTCACTGCAGGTGGCTTTATGTATTGGAGGCGCTGATTCTAGCTGTAGAGGCAGCGTGCTCTTGCTGCTCACATGACCTCATCTGTGGCCAGTGGGCGGGAGCTTTGGCTTGCTTCAGACACTTCTGCCTTTGTCTTAAAACTGAGCTCCATATGCTGGGGATGCTTGTTTCAACTGCAGCTTCATCAATTCTGCATCTGTTCTTGGACAGAGCCAGGAAACACACACACACACACACACACACACACACACTCTCTCTCTCTCTTTAAGCTGTGAGCTTAGATTGCTATTTCTCATTCATATTGGACACTTATAGGGCTTTCTCTTAAATTCTTTGATTCAGTACTTGTAGTGTCTTCTTTTATGCTGAAAATCTTGGTTCCTAACAACATTAGTATATTTATTTGCCAAAATAGCTTGGAAATCATAGTATCAACAGTATCACTATTAATGAATTTGAGTTCCTTGTGGTTCTCTTATCCTTAGTCTGTGCTTCACTGAGGATATACGGAGTACTGTGTGTAAACATGGAATAATAATTTTCACTGTGGTTTTGTTACACTCTGGCTATTATGATCATTAGTTTCATTTTGCTTTCAACTTCAGGGCTTTCCCTGCTGGTGGGGATGTAAAATGGTGCATCTGCTATGGAAAATAGTTTGGCAGTTCCTCACAAATTAAAAATAGATCTATCATCACAACATTGTAAATCAAGTGTACTTCAATAAAAAATAAATTTAAAAATAAAAAATAAATAGATCTACCATATGATCTAGCAATTCCACTCCTGGGTATATACCCCCCAAAATTCAAAGCAGTGGATTTGAAGAGATAGGCGTGCACCCATGTTCATAGCAGCATTTTTCACAAGAACCAAAAGGTGGAAGCAACCCAAGTGTCCATCCACAGATGAAGTGATGAACAAAATACGGTTTCTCCATACAGTGGAAATACTATTCAGCCTTAACAAGGAAGGAAATCCTGTCACATGGATGAACCTTGAGGACATTTTGCTAAGTGTTAGAATAAGCTAGTCACAGAAGAGTGACTGCTGTATGGTTTCACTTATATGAGGTCCCTGAGTGGTCAGAATCATCACCGGGACAGAAAGTAGGGTGGGAGTTGTTGGGGGAGGGGGAGGGGGAGTTGGTGTTTAATGGCCGCAGAGTTCAGTTTGGGAAGATGGGAAGGTTTTTGGAGATGGATTGTGGTGATGGTTGCACAACAACGTGAATGTACTTAATGCCACTCAGCTGTACGTTTAAAAGTAGTTCAGGGCTTCCCTGGTGGCGCAGTGGCTGAGAGTCCGCCTGCCAATGTAGGGTCCAGGGAGATCCCACATGCCGCGGAGCGGCTGGGCCCGTGAGCCATGGACGCTGAGCCTGCGTGTCTGGAGCCTGTGCTCCACAAGAGGGGCTGCGATAGTGAGAGGCCCGCGCACCGCAATGAAGAGTGGACCCTGCTCACCGCAACTAGAGAAAGCCCTCGCACAGAAACGAAGACCCAACACAGCCAAAAATAAATAAATAAATTTATTTTTTAAAAAAAAAGTAGTTAAGATGGTAAATTTTATGTTACATGTATTTTTACCACAATTTTAAAAGTGAAAACCCCCCCACGTTTACGTGGTTAATTATCTAAGTTAAATAAAAGGCACAGTTAGACATGCTTTCGTCTCTGTTCCCTTCACCCTTATTTCCTGATTCTTTCCAGTGTTCCTTTTTACAAAAGTAAGCAAATCCACGTATGTGTTTTTATTTTCCTACTTGCTTACACTGAAGGTAGTGTACTGTGTGCAGCAGTGCGGTACGCTCCTTCAGGTGGCTTCCTCGGAGGAGGTGAAAACAGTTTTGTGTTTATTTTACAAGGAAGGCAACTGAACAGCTGAAGGGAAGCTTGCACATGTAGCATTTAGTGTCAGATTTGCAGTACTTGTGCTGGTACAGGTCTTTGATGGCAAAAAGAAACACTTCTGGAATCATACCTGCAGTTTTCTCTGTAGCACGCATCGTATTGATACACCGGATCTTGGCATCTGCAATCCTGGGATGGTCAGAAGAGGATGGAGCGTCCACCTCCCAGCCTCAGCTTTCTGAGCCCGGCGAGACCACCGAGTCCCTGCATTCGCTCACCTGCCAGAGTTGCTGAAGTCCAAGCAGGGTCTGGCTTGTCCTCACAGCCAGATTGGCTGTCCCAGTGCCTCCCTCTCCGATTGCGAAGGGAGAACCGGAACAGAAAATGGCAGCAAAAAGAGCTACGATCAGGGGACTCTGTTGAACGACTTTCCCACCAATAGAACAGCAGTTCTCTGACGGCTGGGCAGATGGGAAGGAGATGAGGGACAAAGCAGCGTGGAGCAAAAGTCGCTTGAGGGCGGGAGGCCAGGCCTGTGGACGATTGGTACCGAGGGAGGCACGTGGGTCGTGAGTGTGGACCTCAAAGCCCACTCCCTCCTCAGCATGGTGGTCGTGGGGGAGAACTTTGAGGGTAGCGGGAGGAGAGTGGGTTTTCAGCCGTTTGTTGAGGGAGAACCCGCTGCAGAGCACACAGCTTCCTATTGTGCGTTTAGGAAGCTGGCCGCGTATCGGGTGCGTGTGGAGGAGCTCTGCTGAGGGGGATTGGAGCGTGCCGGAAAGTGCGAGCCCACACATCCACGTGGCTGGTTCCGGACAGGCCTCTTCGGGTGTGGTCCTGTTCCAGTTGTCACTGACCATGAAGGCAGGTGGTGTGGCTTCGTGTTCTTGTGATGCACAGCCTTAGAGTTGGCACTGGCCTCTGGAGCTGACTGGCGTTTGCACACGCACGTCTTAGATAGCCCGTGACACTGAGTGCAGGCAGAGTGACAGCCAGCTTGCGGTGTCCATTTCTGAAGTGTAAGTGGCCTTTCCTGGGTCTGCGATTCTGTCTGTTGTTGCTTTCTCCTGTCACTCCAGTAGTTGAGTGAGTGTAAGATTTCCACTCTGTGTAGAACTTTGCTCAGTAAACAAGAATGGAAATGGCAGCTTCTGTGTTGTGGCGCACACATTTTTCTTCATTAGACTCAGGAATTGTTCCACATTTTGTGTACTGAGTTGTGCTGGTAGTAACTGGGGCTTTGGGACCTGCCATTGCACACAATCTCGTTGAAACAAGCTGGGTTTATGACTTGGGGGTGCGGTTGGGTGCGCACCAGGCACCCAGTTCCTTGATCCTGAAGAAGCGCTTTGTTGGCTTCTCACGGTGCTCGTGCTTTGAGCTGCTTCCTCAAAGGCGCTCTTGAGGCTGAGGGATCCCGCCCCCCGCCCCACTTCACTCTTCAGCTCGGCCCCTGTGCACTTCGGCCCCTCTTGCTGCGCGTTTTACTGTTTGCACTTGAGAAGACTGCTCAGCTCTTCACAGACACCGGCAGAAGTCTTCATTGCTGGTGATTCAGCTGTGACCACTGGGAGGGTGAGGGCGACTTTGTGGGCACAGTGAAGGGCCAGGGGCCAGGCTGAGCTCTGACTCTATGAGACAGCAGCCCAGACCCAGGCGAGCAGCTTCTGGCCATGTGTGTCCATCACACAGCATCTCCAGAGCTTGTTCCATCGTTTGGGAGCCCCGTGGTGACAGTCCACCTCCACGCACAGCTTTGCTGTGTGCTGAGTGCTCTGACGCACCTTGTCAAGCGTGGGTTCTGGTTTTACACATGAGGGTCTAGATGCTTGGGAGGTTGCAGCTGCCCGAGGTCACACAGCAAGTACACCGCCAGAATTGTCCTTGGGAGTGTCAGGCTAGGGACTGTTTCTCCTGCTGACAGAACTCTGTCTTACAATGTGGAGTCTTCTTAAGGTCACCTTCCCATCTCCCTATCCCTCGTCTAAAAATAGAATGGGTGGAAGTGCAGTGCTGTGCAGAACACTGCCATTTGTATTGAAGTCAGGTTAGATCATGTTCATACCCAGTGTAAAGAAAACGTGCTTCCACATCTGGGAATAGAGTCATTTCCAGGTATTTTTCGAATCTGATTAGACTGAAATACAAATACCCTCTGTTCCAGCCATTCCTAACTCTGGTGACATGGTTGGATCACGTGAGAAGCTTTAACATAAAAACAAAGCCAGGTCCCCACCCGATCAAGTTTGACCCTGGGCTTTGGGCAAATCAATGGATTAGGCCCAGGGCTGCCATATGCCAGCTAGAGGGGGCGCTGTCCCCATCAGTGTGCTGTTGGGCTGAGGAGCCAGGGGCAGCAGGAGTGTGAACGACCTAGAACAAAGAAGACTCAGCACAAAAATGCTCAGACGCTGCTATGTATTAGAGGCTAAGAGATGTGGATTCCACAGGTTACATCTTTTACTCTATCCCGTTTTTCTGATTTTAAGATCGGATTCTGAGTACTGTGACCCGTGATCTGTCAGATGGAATCTGAATTTGCTTTTCCCCTCATTTTAGGGACGGGCGTGTCCTGGGTGTGCTGGAGGTGTCCCGCTCCATTGGGGATGGGCAGTACAAGCGCTGTGGGGTCACTTCTGTGCCAGATATCAGACGCTGCCAGCTGACCCCCAACGACAGGTAAAACCTCCCAGAGGCACAGGTGTGCACACACATGGTTTTGTTTCTCTTCTGATTTCTTCCAGTTTGTGTAGTGAACCTGGGGTGGGCAGCCATGTCTCGGGCACTGTGCTAGGCCCTAGAGGTGCAGGGATAAATAAAATGCCGTTTCCGCTCTCGTGGGGTCCACAGTCTGCCGGGGGGACCACCTGTGAATGGGCGGTTCCAGTCTAGTGTGTCTTAAGAGTGTGGGGTGCTCTGGGAGACTTTGGCTGTGGGGGGAGAGAGGCATCCTTGCTGGAGAAAAGAGAAGGGTTTTTTGGCAGAGCGGACACAAGGGACAGGATGAAAATGTGGCCAGGCAGATGCCATAATAGGGAGTCAGGAACGTGATGGCAGGGTACCTGGGGACAGATTGTAAAGGCCCTGGATTCTTTGCTGAGGAGCTTGAATTTTAGCTCATAATTGGTGGAGAATCCTGGGAGGTTTTTAAGCAGAGTCAAGTTAGGTTGAGAAAGAGACCCCTTGTTTAATTGTCCAGCCCCTAATTCTGAGCTGCTTGAAGGTGAGGCACCATGCCTAGTGCCAGAAGCCCTCAGCAAGTCAGCGTTGGAGGCTGGAGTAGGACGGAGCCCAGCGGCCAATTAGGAACTGATGCACTGGCCCTTGCTGTGGGTGCGGATGGGGGAGGTGAACTAAGGCAGCAGTGGAAGGAGACCGGGGAGGCCAGTGCTGCGAGGGAGGAGCCTTACCCCGGCCCCCCGCCTGCTGAGTGAGCATCTTAGGACACGGTTCCACCAGCTCCTCTGGTTTTCTAGATGATGCCTCAGGGGAGTCTCGTCTGTCCCCACATTAGACCAGGCCCCCTGTTGTATGTACTGCTCGAGCTCCCTCTGCTTTGGATCATGGTTGTGTGTTTGTATGGCCAGTTGCTTAGGGTCTGTCACATGAGTGGAAGGGGCCAGCACCTGCTTGGACCTGTGCCCTGGTAGATACGTGTTGAATGAATGCCCAGTCAAAAGAGGAAAACCAGGACCTGGGTATTAAAATGAGGAGAAAAGGGTGTTAGATCTGTGGGGAAACTGTCCTAGGAGAACCAGAACTGTCTCGTCTCATCCATCATTGTTCAGAAAGACTTTCCTTGGGAAGTCTAGAGGGGGCTTTGAAAGGGAGGTAGTCCTGTTCTCAGATGGTGAAAGTGGAAGGTGGTTCTCCCTTCACGTGGGGAGTGAGTGCTTGAGAACATTCCTTAAGTCCACAAACTGTCAGTTTTATTGGGTTGGCCAAAAAGTGCCTTTGGTTTTTTAAGTAAAAATAAAAGCCACATTTTTCATTTTCACCAAGAACTTTATTGAAGAACGTATTCACCCTTTTGTTCCACTACCTTCTGCCATTTTTCAGCCAACTTCACAATCCCATCTTCCCAAAACTCTTTATCTTTTTGAGCAAAGAACTGTTCCAGGGGCCTTTTACAGTCATCCAGGGAATCGACATTGTTTTCCATTGAGAGAATTTTGTAAAGACTGAAATAAATGGAAATCCGAAGGTGCAATGTCTGGTGAATACGGTGGATGAATCAAACTTCCCAGCCAAGCTGTAACAGCTTTTGCCTGGTCATCAAAGAAACATGCCGTTTTGCGTTATCCTGCTGGAAGATTATGTGTTTTCTCTTGACTAATTCTGGACACTTTTCGTCGAGTGCTGCTTTCAGTTGGTGTAATTGGGAGCAGTACTTGTTGGAATTAATCGTTTGGTTTTCCAGAAGGAGCTCATAAGAGAGGACTCCCTTCCAATCCCACCATATACACAACATCACCTTCTTTGGATGAAGACCGGCCTTTGGTGTGGTTGGTGGTGGTTCATTTCGCTTGCCCCACGATCTCTTCCGTTCCACATTATTGTCACTTTTTATTGCCCATCATGATTTGTTTTAAAAACGGAACATTTTCATTACATTTCAGTAGAGAATCACATGCGGAAATGTGGTCAAGAAAGTTTTTTTCGCTTAACTTACGTGGAACCGAAACATCAAAGCGATGAACATAACCAAGCTGGTGCAGGTGATTTTCAGTGCTTGATTTGGGTATTTCGAGTGTGTCGGCTGTCTCCTGCGTGGTATAACGGTGATTGTTCTCAATTAATGTCTTGATTTGATCACTACTTCAACTGGTCTACCTGACCATGGAGCGGCGTCCAGTGAGAAATCTCCAGCACAAAACTTCACAGACCACTTTTGACACATTCGATCAGTCACAGCACCTTCTCCATACACTGCACAAATCTTTTTTTGCACTTCAGTTGCGTTTTTACCTTTCTTGAAATAATCATAATATGCCGAAAATGTTGCGCTTTTTTCTCTCCCATCTTCAATATTAAAACGGCTACACAAAAATTCACCAATTTTGATAAGTCTTTTTTTTTTTTTGCGGTACACGGGCCTCTCACTGTTGTGGCCTCTCCGGTTGCAGAGCACAGGCTCCGTACGTGCAGGCTCAGTGGCCATGGCTCACGGGCCCAGCCGCTCCGAGGCATGTGGGATCTTCCCGGACCGGGGCACGAACCCGTGTCCCCTGCATCGGCAGGCGGACTCTCAACCACTGCGCCACCAGGGAAGCCCGATAAGTCTTTGTTTTAAATGTACGCTGATATGACAGCTGTCACATACAATCTAACAAAATTGTTTCGAATGATGTTAAAGACAACTGAGTGCTACAGAGCCATCTTACAGAAAAAAACCGAACGAACCTTTTGGCCCACGCAGTATGTTTGGGAAATGGCTCGAGGCATGTGGTGATAGAAATTTAGCATGTACTTATCATAACACCTGATGGATTTTATTTGGTGATTTTCCTAGAGTTTGTCTAAGAAGTGGGTTTGGGTTAATCCATAATTTTTGGTGAACAGAGAGTAGTCCCAATTTTGATGTGTAACATTTCACCTACAAATACTTTTAAGTAGTTTTAACCTTTGTCTCATAGAAGTTAAATTGGTTTTAAAAGATGTTTAGCCTTTGAGTAGTTGGACAAGTATTTTTACCTCCACTGCCAGGCCATTTCATAAAGTTTGCTGCTAAAACCCATTTATATTTTTCTCTGTGTTGTAGGTTTATTTTGCTGGCCTGTGATGGCCTCTTCAAGGTCTTTAACCCAGAAGAAGCCGTGAACTTCATCTTGTCCTGCCTTGAGGTAAGAGGTCTCACAAGGGAGAGGGTGCCAGTCGTCCCAGCTGCACTTGGGCTTTAGAGGAGAAGTCCCGAAGCCCCCTTCCTCCCCCATGTTCCCTGTAGTTGGGAGTGGGAACTCCAGCCCGGGGACTCACCCGTCAGTTTGTCCTGCCCGCCCTGATGGGGACTGGGGAGCAGTTCTTCCTTGTGGCAGTGGTGTCTCAGGAGAGTGATGGGGTGCAGGGTCCCCACTCACCAGTGCCCCTTTCCTGCCCGGTAGGATGAGAAGATCCAGAGCCGAGAAGGGAAGCCCGCCGTGGACGCCCGCTACGAAGCCGCCTGCAACAGGCTGGCCAACAAGGCGGTGCAGCGGGGCTCGGCGGACAATGTCACCGTGATGGTGGTGCGGATAGGGCACTGAGGTGCTGCGGGCCGGGGCGCAGCGTGGTGTTCACTTCCAATGTTCACTTTGTGTGTTGTGCACATTATGTGTTTCGTGTACTCCTGTGGGATTCCCATGGTTGTAAATAAAGGTTTCGTTTTTTTTTTCTAGATTTTTGAGTTATCTTATTACATTTTGAGCAACTCTTGACCTTTCAGAGGTTGTGTTTGCTTTCGGATATGCTTTGGGTCTCTCCTCGTTAAAACCATTATAGGCATCTTGGGTTGGCCAGTGATAACGGCCCATCCTTAGTAAGCTGCTCGTTGTGCAGTGCTTTGTGGTTTATGCGCACCTTTCCTGTGCTGTTTCACCCTCCTGATAACTGCTTGGGGAAGTGGCATTTTACAATGAGGAAATCGAGGTAACGACTGCATTGGACAGGCCACGACTAGAGCCCAGGGCTGCTGGAGCACTCTGGCTGCTTTCAGCTTTCTATACAAAAATAAGGTTACAAAACGTTATGCGGCATGATCCCAGGCTCAGCTAGGGGAACAAGATGAGGTGGTCACTCTGTGGAGCAGCGTGCCCCCAACGGGCCCTACAGAAACACCACGGGATTCTGCTTATTTCCAGTTCTGTGATGACAGATGCAGTCTGGCTGAGGGACTCTAAGAAGGGCTGGGTTTACTGGGTTTCACGTCTGGGTCCCCCGGGTGCAAAATGCGTACTTTTCCAGGTTTGAGCAGTCAAGCTGCTGTTCCCTGTGGCCAAGTCCAGCCTCCTGTCTTAGTCTTAGGAATGTGCATTCAGTTGGTTCTGTGCTGGGCTGAGGTTGATGGTCACGATCACACTTCGTCAAAGATGTTAAAAATGCATGATGAGCCTACTCAGAAAAACAAACTTTAAAATTCTTTTCAAGCCCTTATTTATATGTAAAGCAGGCCATTGGTATTGCTGTAATTACTTAGTAAAGCAGCTTTTAGGTCTGTGTAAATGCTGCCTCAGGATGATGTAAGATTCTGAAAATTTGCTTTTGAAGCTGTTTTGTCATGTTTGCTGGCCCTGCCCAGCCTGCGCACATGGCCTTATCACCTCGTCAGTTCTGTCAGTGGGACCGGCCTCCCTACAAGTACCTCGGGAGCGTTTCCAGCACACCCTTCCCCAGAGTGTTAAGAGCCAGGTTTCACTCCTGCTGAGGACTGGGACGACGCGGTGTGGCATCGCGGAAGGAAAGAACCTCAGCGTCTCAGAATTGGGAAGTGGGACAATTTATTCAATAAACATTTTCTTACAGCAAACAAGGCACCAGTCTTTGACCATGTATCCCTAATCCCCAGACCGCTAGTGTCCTAGAGCTGGGAGAGGCTTGGTGCTGGGCTTCCCTGGACGGGCTCTCCCTGCCACCTTCTCCATGGGTCTGAGGGCCCAGTGGGCTGGAAACATCCTTCCACCTCCCCTCCCAGAGCTCACTCCTCTGTCCTTGGTGAGCCTGGCCTAAATGACTAAGACTCTATATTTTAAGGTCTGCCCTTTGTTTCTATAATTTTGTATAATCACATAAAATAATTCTCAAAAGTCAGTTTATATATATATGTGTGTATATATATATATGTGTATATATATATATATATATATATTCCACCTGACAATATTATACAATAAATACTTCAGTAAATTGCTGTGTGACACACTCATATTGAGAAAATGAAAGACATCTGTGGGTTTTTCAAGGGTAAAAGCTTCTCTAAAATATCTGGATACAAAGTGAAATCCAGAAAAGGGCGTGGCCACACCATCCCTTATCAGAGAGCATGGGCAGGCAGGACGCCGGCCAGCTCGCACTTCCTGGTAGGGCGGGTACGAGTCCTACTGAGAACTGTGCCAGGGCTGCCAAAGGGCACAGAGTGGTGGTTTGTGTGCATTGCGCCTGCGGGTCCCCTGGCTGGGAGGGAAATGTCTGAGCCTGACTGTGGCGCTGGAAGCTTAGGGCTCCGGGGCATCAGCTAGGCCTGGCCACAGTCACCTGCTCACCCCAAGGCCAGCTAGAAGGTTACGGTGAGAGGTGACTGCAGCCATTGCCCCCTTCTCTCCCAGGCCTGAGAAGGGGGCAATGGCTTGCCAGACCAGCTTGGCCCCCAGGACATCTTATGGTACCCTGTTCCTGTAGCCTGTTTTGTGTGTAGGTACAGGGTTGGGTAACTTCCTCAGCAGGCAGCGGGGGCCCTGCACCTTGAAAGAAATTGCAGCAACTCCCAGACCCCCATCACCACTGCTACCCGCATCCCATCACTGCTGCAGCAGCACAGAAGGACTTGGGACCTGGTCTTCTCAGGACACCCATCTGAGCTTGGGGCCGTATTCCCACCCCCGTGGGGAAGATTCTTTCAAGAGCCCCAGAGCTGGATGGACCCAGCGGGGCTAGGCTGCAGTTGGGCACCGAGAGCCTGTCAGCTTGTGGGAAGCGTCCGCTTCATCCGTGCAGATGGGCAGGCAGGGCCTGGCCGCCCCTGACCTGCAAGGGTGTTCTAGCCCTTTCATCTGGTGGGTGGATCTGAGCAGTGAGCCAGGGGCCACAAGGGGGTGGGCAAGGGGCCCTCATCCACGAGAGGGTCTGTGACGGAGGGGGAGGGTGCAGCTCCTATGTGGAAAGGCTGGGTGAGCGTGCAAGTGACCTTGCACATGTCACAAGTGAAAACAGCTCCAGACTGTCACTGTCCCTTGTCAGCCCCCATCCAGTGTCTCTCTGGTGCCTGAGGCTGCTATGCCCCAGGGCCACAAGGAGAGGCTTGGGCCCCGTGGTCCCTGCAGGCTAAAGGCAGGGCTGGGAGAGGGGCAGGTGGGGACCAGGCAGGCTGGGCGGCCTCTGCCCTCCGTCCTGGCACTCCCAGCAGGCAGCCCGTGAGAACACTAAGAAAGATGGAAAAGGTGGGGCTGGGCCACAGCAACAAAGCTGAGGCTGCCGGGGCCACTGGGGCCAGGAGGGGCCCAGGTCTGCAGCTGGGGAGGGACAAAGCACGTGCTCCTGGGCACACTGAAACGTCTCCCCTTTAACTTAAGCTGGCATCCTGAAATCATTCCCAGTCTGGGACTGCCAGTTTGCGTGTCACCTCCCCGGGCTGCCTGTAGTGGCATCTCTGGGTTGAACTGCGGTGGCCAGTGTGGGCAGTTCGGCGGCCTCCCTCCTGCGTGTGGCCCCCGCCACTCCGCCACGGCCCCGAGATTGTTCGCACTCCTGCTCCGTTTGCCTGGCGAGAGGGAGAGCCTGGGGTGGCCGGTCATACACCGAGGAGGACAGCACTGAAGTGGGAGCCACCGCGCACTGTGAGGGAGGAGCTGCTGGCATTGTCCAGGAAGACGGAGGTGTACTGCCCCGCCTGCGGGGAAGGTCAGCGTCAGCCTGGATGCCGCCGGCCTGCAGGTGCGCCCACCACACACCATGCCCGCCCCGCCCCGCCCAAGGACAGGAGCGAGGGCCGCAGGCCTTGCCCTCAAACCCAGCACCCCTGACGCCTGGTCTAGTGCCTCCTCCCCAGCTCCATCAGCCCCGGCACCAATGGGCTCCCTGTAGTGCGTGTGCAGGGGAGCAAGTCTCTGCTCACGGCCAGGGCGGGGCTCGAGCGTCAAACAGTTCCCTCTGCGGCACTGGAAGCCTGAAAGCGTGCTGAACTCACGTGTGACGGTGCCCCTTCCCCCCACAGGCCTGGCCACTGACCCATTTGGTAGAGCCACGGTCGGACTGGTACTCTGCCTGGCTACTCCGAATGTGGTCCAGGCATCAGCAGGGTCACATCCCCAGATGTGAGCTGGGAACTCCCAGAGATGCAGAATCTGGGCATTTGCATCTGAAGACCCCAGGCACACTGTGTGCCATCTGAGTTCACGCAGCAGTGCCAGGGACCAGACCTCTAAACGCCTTCCAGCAACCACAGCCGCCTGCAGCCACAGCCTGGCCTCCAATCCTGGCTTTGCTGTGCGAGCTTGGGCAAATTACTTAACGCTTCTGTGCCCTAGTTCCCTTATTTGTAAACAGGGGAATAATATTTTCTACCTCAAAGTGCTGTGAGTAATGGGTAATTGATGTTAAGTGCTCAGAACGGGCCTGGCCTAGTTAGTGCTATTTACATGTGAGCTTTATTCCACACATCTGTACCTAAATTTTTCTTTCTTAGGAAATCTCATCTTTTCATCAGTTTCTCAAGCCCTTGCCCAAATCCCCACAGTTCTAGAAAGAGACTGTCCGTTGGGGTTTTGTGTAGGAAATAACTGCGTCTGCTTCCCGAAGTCCCAATGGGCCAGGGGATCGTGATGTCATCCTGGGCAAAGAGCTGATCTCTGTCACTGCCCCCCACCCCGTTGCCCACTGAGTCCCTTCCGAAGGGCTCGTTACGGCCAGAAGCACCAGTCCTCAATATGGGGGGGCCAAGTCTGGGGAAAGGAGCCCCGGTCTCGGCCTGGCTCTGCCTGGACTAGCGGAAGTGCTCTGTACCGCCCTGACCCTTGCCCGGGCCTGGAGGCTGAGGGCACTGCACCCAGAGCTCTGAGCACCCACCAGCACCCCTCCCTGCCCAGTCACCCCCACGGCTGTGTCCAGGTGGTGGCCCCCCCCCAGCGGAGCCTGCCCCACACACCTGCAGATACAGAACGCCGTTGACCGAGATGGTGAAGAACTCGCTGCTGCTCTGCAGCCCCATGACAGCCTCCAGGGAGCTGCGGCCAAAACAGAAAGAGGGTGGGCCTGAGACCCCTGCCCCGGAACCACCAACTGCACCCACAATGTGCTCACAATCACCGCAGCGCCCGACACCCAGCAAAGTGCCCTGAGAACGGCTGTCTTAGCCAGGGCTTCTGGTGGAGGTGGCATCTGAACTGGGTCCCCAAGAGGAGTAAGGACAGGCTCCACAGGGCTGAAGGTGTGCCGTGAGGGCCGGGCAGCAAATCCTGGCTCTGATGGGAAGCGAGACACTGGCCGGTGCAGCTGGAGGTGCGGGGCTGGCAGCAGTGAGGCTGGGTTCAGGCCAATCGGTGCAGGGCTTTCCAAACCAGAGTGAGAAGATTTGAACTTCACCCATGCATGCCTTCTGCAACCGCTGTGGAGCACCTGCTCTCTGCCTGGGCTGTTCTGGGTGCTGGGGACACCGAAGGAGCAGCCCTGCCCTCCCGGACCAGCAAGAGACGGGAAGCTGGACAAGTTCACAGAGAAGGGCTGGGAGAGAGCCTGGGGAGGGTCCGCACAGACTGGTCAGGACAGGCCTGGGGACGCGACGCTGGCGCCTCGGGTCGCCGGATGGGAGTCAGTCCCCTGTGGGGGGCGGACTGAGCAGGGGCTGGGGCGGGCCGGGCCCCCACGTCCCGGGTCGGGGTTCGGGGAGCGCGCACCAGGGCGGGAGGAACGCCTGACGGTAGCCGGGGAGAGACCCGAGGGAGGAGGCGGGCGCCCGGGCTGCGCGCCCTGCCCGCGCCCACTCACGCGTGGTGCTGGCACCGGGACTGGATGCAGATGAGCAGGCGCAGGCGGTCCCGGGGGCGCGGCGGCGCCCGTCTCGTCTGCTCCGCCAGCGCTGCGGGGGAGGCACGGGGGCGGTCACCGGGCGGCGGGAACCAAGCGCGGCGGGGCGCCCCCCCCCCCCAGGCCCCGCCCCAGCCCCGGGCCTCACCCACGTGCAGCGTGGCGGCGAGCGCGTAGAAGCCGGCGACGGGCGCCGTGTACTGGCCGCTGGTCAGGTTCAGGCCCGGGCCGCGGCGGAAGGCGCCCTCGGCGTTGGGCTGCGGGCGCACGTACGGTCACCCCGAGCCCGCCGCGCCCGCCGCGCCCCGGCCGCCCCGGCCCGGACTCACCACGTAGTAGACGCCGAGCTCGTGCAGCGCGCGCCGCTCCACCGACGCGTCCCGGCGCAGGCGGCAGTGGAAGGCGGCCTCGATGCGCGGCGCCCGTGGACCCGGGGCCAGGGGCGCAGCCAGCAGCGCCAGCACGCCCGCGCCCCCCGCCGCCGCCGCCTCCTCCTCCTCCTCGTCCTCCTCGTCCTCCGCGGGGACGGCCGGCACCGCGGCGGGGCCGCGCGGGCGGGGCTCAGGCTCCGTGCACTCGCGTGTGCGCACCGCGCCTGGCACAGAGCGAGCGGTGGCCGCGCCGGGACCACCTCGCTCGCCCTTCCGTGTCCCGCCCGGACCCCTTCCCCAAACCCGGGCGCTGCTGAGAGCGCGGGGGGCCATTACCGGTTACCCCGGAACCGCGCGCCGGGCGCACGCAGTCGGGCCTGGCGGGTCTTCAGAAACTGCCTCCTGATCCTGCGGCTGCACCTGTTTCCTTTCACACTTTGGCTACCGGGAAGCTCAGGGCTGATTCACCCAGGACCCTCGTTCTCCTGCTTCACCTGCCTATCCTACCGCTTCTTCCCCCTTCCCGCTGCTGTTTCTTCTCTGTTTACATTTTTGTTGTATCAGGGAATGCAATAGTTTAAGCCAGACTGGTCATTTTTGAAAAGAAGTTGGGTATAAATAAATAATTTTGCAGCTATATTGCACATAATATGGAGGTTCTTCAGCCGCTGAAGCTGGTCTATTTAAATGAACAGTACATTAAATTGAAGGGGGAAAAAGACTCAGTAGCTCTTCACAATGACATTATCTAGTCAATAGCGTGAGCTGCGACTCGGCAGCTGGCCACAGTGCAGGGACACCGCCCTCGGTGCCGGAGCCCCGCTCAGCGCTGCTCTCTCCGCCTGCGGCCTCCAGCGGCTGCCCCATCCTCCTCCCTGTGCTGCCCCCAGACACCATCCTCCTTGCCCCGTGAGGGCGGCCTCCTGGTGCCCTCCCATGCGGCTCTGAGGCCGGCGGCAGAGATCTGTCAGGAGAAGAGGTGGGGGCACAGGTGATCAGGGGGTAGAAGGGGGCCTGTGTTACTGGGCTGAGCCTCCGATCTCCCTGGTGTCTCTGCGGGGATCAGAGGAGCACTTTACAAGCTGACAGGGCCCTGAGCCCCCCCTGACAGTCCCCACCTGGGGGGCACGGGCTTAGATCTCTCAGCCTTTGCTAGGCTCACCGGACTCGCAGGTGGGGCATGGATGCTGGTCCCCAGGCCCCTGCTGAACACCGAGTGGCCAAGTCCACCTTCCTCTGGAAGCCACCTCTTCACCACGCTCCTCCCACCTCCCCCGCAAGCTCCCGACCCACAGCCTTGACCCAGGCCAGCACCAGAGCAGAAGCCTCCTTGGGATACCGGTCAACAGACAAAGGTCTAGCCCACCTCAGCTCCTCCAGGATGCCCTCCCCGGCCCCGCTCACACCGGGGGTGGGGTGGGTGGGGTGGGTGCCCCTCCCTACCTTTCAGCAGCAGCTGGAACTCTTTCAGCAGGACCTCAGGTGGGGTGATGGGACCCGGGGGGCCCTGGGGGCCGGGGGGCCCTGGGGGACCTGGCAGGCCGAGCTGAAAGAGAAGCTTGACGGTGAAGACATCTGAACAGGCAGGCTGGGGACCGCGGGCACCCCCTCTGCAAGCTCTTGCCACCGAGCCTGGCAAGGGAGGGGGGGTGGGGTCCTGCTTTGACCCCTGGGGTGGAGGTCAGCCTCCAGGGCCTCCGATTCCCCTGAGGAGGCAGTGAAAGCTGCAGGCACAGGGCCTCAGGGTGGTGGGGCCCCTGGGGGCAGGGCTGGGGGGAGGAAAGTGCACAAACGGGGAAGCAGAGGGCTGCAGCCCAGCCCCGGGGCTGGATTTCCTGATGGAAGGAAAAGGGGAGGGAGGGACACGCCAGGCTGCTTTCGACTCTCAAGGTCTGTCTTGGCAGCAGCTGGCAAGTCCTCCCTGTGCCTGGCCCAGCACCGGGGCCTGGGGTCCTCAAGGAGACCTCACTGGGCTGGGCTGGTACCCACCCAGGAGCAAGGAAGTCCCCTGCAAGGAGGAGCCTGGGGGAGCCCCCAGCTCAGCGTCGGGGGTGACGGGTCAGACCATGGTGACAGCCCAGCAGCCCGGCTGCCTCAGGCTCAGAGCCCGGCACTCGGTCACTGGGTCAGATCTGGGGCAGGGTGAGGCCCGAAATCAGCATGGGCAGCACAGCCGTGACCAGAGCGCTCACCCCAGGGGACACAGCCCTCTTTGGGGCTCAAGGTAAGAGTCAGCCATCAGGACCAGGTGCCAGGTCCCTGCCAGGCTGAATGAGAGTGGGGGCCAGCAGCTGCCAGGGCCCCCATGTCCCCCAGCCACTAGGAACCAGACCGTGCCACCCCAGCCCGCCTGTAGGCCCCTCCAGCTTGGTCCCTGACGGCCCTACCAGGCCAGACCAGGCCTCCCGTGCCAGGATGCAGAGGGGAGAGAAAGCGGGGAGCCAGTGAGGCTGCCTGGCATTCCAGGGGTGCAGGGTAAATGGTTGGAACAGGCCCCAAACTCAGGGTCACTAGGCCCCAGCTTGACAGTTCTGTGCCCTCTGGCCCAAGGGTGAGGGTCTCTGCTTGTCGGAACTGCTCAGGGTGTCCAGGGGGAGCCAGTGAGGGGTGTGGGGTGGTAGTGGTGGACTGGGGGTTTGGGGAAAGGCCCGTGGGTGGGGGCTCACACACACACCCCCACACACACACACCCAAGACACACACACACCCAGGACACACACACCCAGGACACACACACACACACCCCCAAGACACATACACCCAGGACACACACACACACACACACCCGAGGACACACACACCCAGGACACACACACACACACACACGCAACACTGGCTGGGGCTCCAGGGCTCACCTTCAACTTCTTGGCTTTGCCTCTGCTCCCCTTCCTGCTGTTGGCGCCCTTGTCACTCTGCCTAACGAAGAGCATCCAGGCATCTCGCGGATCGATGCCGCGCACTTGCTCCACGGGGGGCTCCTGGAACATGGCGGCCATCAGCTGGTCTGCCTCCCCTGGACGCTTTGCAGGAGGTCACTGTGCAGGACTGGCCTCCGGCACCCTCGGGCCCATCACTGCGCCCTCCAAGACAGCACAGCCCCGGCCCCCAGCCCCGCGGAGGACGACCCCTGGGGAACAGGCCACTCCACAGCCTGGACTTTGCGGGAGAAGAGGCCCCTGGGCATGGGTGCGTGGGAATCGGGCTCTGCTGGGCCACCAGGCCTGTCCCAGCTTCCGTCCCGGGAGCTGCAGTGAATGCACCTTCCTGGGAGTCGGAGGATCAGACCGCCGGCTCCACGGGGGCTCAGGCAGGGGCCCCCGACTACCAGCAGGCCCCCCGACCAAGCCCGATGGTCCGAAGTTCCAGGGAGGCCAATTTCAGCCCTCAGGGATGTTAAGCCTACAGTCCAGTGCGGTTAGGGGGACCGGGGTAGGGGGGTGTCCAGCACTGAGACATGACTCCAGGCGCCTGCACGGCATGTGAGATGCGTGACCTAAGCAAGGACAGTGATGGTTCCAGAAATGTCCATTCCCCTTCATAGTGCGTTCTGACTAGTCCTGACATGGAGGAGAGTTCCAGGAGGTACCTTGCAGGGAGAGGCCCTTGGCCCTCCGGGCAGTGGGCCTCGCACAGTCTGAGCTCCAGGCAGTGCTGCCAGCTGGGACGGAAATTGGCTCCAGAGGGCTTAGATGAGGTCATGGGTGCCGACTCCGGTGACTGATGGAAGGACCCTGGGATCTTGGAGCCACCAGGCCCTTTCGTCAGAGGCAGACTCAGTGGTCTGGCAGCCCCTCTGCAAGGATCTGGGGCTTCCCATCAGGAGCCAGTGTGCTGTGATGGGGACGGGCTTCTGTGATGGAGGAGCCTGGGAAGCCTCGGAAAGGCCTCAGAGTGCCTGGGGCTTCCCCACATCTCCCTGGGTGCTGGGCCCCGCGAGGCGCCCCCCGACTGCTTCCTCTCCACGGACACCAGGACCTGTGGCCTCACTTCACGGCCTCACGCTGCCCTCAGTGGAAACACGTGGCAGGAGGATTCTACATGGGCTGGACGGTGTGCCACACTGGCCCTCCAGCTGGACCAGTAGCCTGTGGAAGGACTCAGACCCCAGTTTGGTTTGGGGAACTGAAACAGGTGGGACCACGTTGGTCTGGGGATCTGGGAGATGGGCCTGTGGCAGTATGGGTGGGTATCTGGCAACTGCCCTGGCCGACTGAAGTCTCCAGCCTCCAGGGGCTCTCAGAAAGGAGCCTCTGTGGACCCAAGGAGGGTCCAAGGCCAGAACCCCACCTGGAAGCACGTGAAGCTCCCTCTGCTTCCTGGCCACCACAGCCCAACATCTGGCAACCCTGCCCCCCAGGGGTTGTGGTTGGCTGGCTGGGTAGGGTTTGCCTTCAGTCCATGGGAAGTGGCCGGAGGTGATGGGAACGAGGGCTTCGGGGAGGCCCCTCCCAGGGGGTAGGCAGGGCTGGCCGACACCTCCACCTGTCTTTAATGGGGGTGTTCTTTAGTGGAGGCATCACGGTTCCCAGAGTGACGCTGAGAGCAGAGGTGCAGGCTTGAGGTCCCAGCAAGGCTCTGCCCTTTGCACTGCCCACAGGCATCTTCAGAAAAAAGAAACTCAAAGCTCTTTCCCCGACGGCCCTCACCTCCCTGTCTGAAAGGCCCCACCCACACTGAGGGCCCCTCCGAAGGCCCCAATTCCCCAGCCTCCTCCAACCTGAGCACCCTTTTGTGTAGCAAGGGAAGGAAGAAGCAGGCTGAGCTAAGCATCACCGGCCTCGGCCAGAAATCACACGTCACTGGGGGCCCGGCACCCCACCCCTTTCTCCCCTGCACCCTCCCCAACCGGCAGGAAGGCAGTTTTTGTTTTTCAGAGAGACTTGCACCAAACAGATTGGGGGCAGGGGTGGGGTGCGGTGGTGGTCAGTAACTTGCTCACACTTTTACAAATACGTTCTTCCCATTTCAGGAGAATGAAGTTATTTACACTTTACTCACTTCCCAACGCAGAAGTCCCCAAAGAAAAGGCATTTCCCCCGGTCTGGTAGAACTTTGCTTCAATGCCAAAGAACTACCCCAAAAGCCAAGGTCACGGCTGGCCTTAAGGCGCCCGTGGGGAGGTGCAGTGAGGTGGCGTCCAGACCTCCTGGGCCTGCCCCGCAAGCTAAACGTTTTTCTGCCCACTTCACAAAGGAGGACACCCAAGCCAGCCCAGGTCCCCGCTCGCGGCGCCGCGCTCCCCACCGCCCCGGAAGCAAGCGCCCTCCGCCTCCGGGGCGCCCTGGAGCTCAGGAGGTGCGGGCTCCGGGTGGGGAAGCTGAGGCCCAGAGGTCTCTGCGGCGCTGGGGCCCGGACGAGTAGTCGGGCGGCGTCTTACCTGCGGGCTGGCGGCCGACCCCGCGGGCAGCTCGTTCCCGGGCGGCGGCTCTTCGCGGGCGCGGCTCCCCGAGGGCGCGCAGGGCTCTGGGGAGCCGAGGCCCGCGGCGGCGGCCAGCAGGCCCGCGTACGCGAGCATCAGGGCTCCGGCAGGACAGCAGGCGGGGGCCATGCGGGTGGCGGGTCCCTCTCTCCTCCGAGCGCTGCGTCTGGGACTCGCCCTCCGGCTCCGCGCCTTATAACGCGCTTGAATCCCCCGCGTCGCCCGGAGAGCGCGCATCACCGCCGGCGCCCCCTCCCGGCTCCCGCGCGCGCTGCAGCCGCGGGGGCAGGGGGCCGGTGCGGGGAGGGAAGGGGGCGCTGCGGGGCGGGGCATGCGTTAGGAAAGGGGGCGCGGGGTCGAGGAAGGCAGTACAGGGGAGGCAGGGGGCTCGGAGAGCGCTGGCTGGCGGTGGCCTGAGCGCCCCCTGCTGTCGAGCGCGCTTCCGCCCCAGCTCGGGGCCCCCGGTCCCTCCTGCGCTCTGTCCCGCGCTTCTGCTTGGCGGGGAGCCCGGACGCCCCTTCTCCCGACCCGGGGCATCCCTCTCCCCTCCCTATCCCGCGCGTCTTCTGCGGGGACCTCGAGACGCCTCCTCCCCATTCTCCCGGCCGCGCCCTGCGTGTTGGATTGAGCACATCGGAGCGCGAAGACCGTCAGGGTCCCTCCTTGAGGCCTTTTCCCAGGCGGCGGCCCCTCCCTTCAGAGGCAGCCTTCTCCCCAAGGCTGGGGCGCCCTGAGGTCAGGGATGGGCTCTTCCTCCCCAGCAGGGCGCACCTGCAGGGGCCTCCGGGGGCGGGGGTGGGGCACGGAGCAAATCTACAGCCGGGGACAGGCGCCCTGCACTGAAGCGGGCGCCCTGAGGCCTGGACTGGGAGGATTGAGCCCAATCTCGACCTGGGGGCCGGGGCGGGGTGGGGCGGGGCGGGGGGCCGACCCGACCCGGGACCACATTACCAGCAGCCCACCAGGATCAGCACAGGGCACGCCGCGGGCACAGGTGGACCAGGCCGTGCAGGCCTGGGGTCCAGGCTTCTCCCGGAAAAGAGCAGCCCCTTCACTCTTCCCTGGGCTGTTTGTTCTATCACCTGCGCGTCGCCTCTCCACCCCTACCGTCCACTCCGCCCACACCCCACCCCGACTGCCTGCCGAGGCTGGCACTCCAGGCTCTCCTGTGTCCCTTCCCGAGGGGCCTGAACCTGGTGGGTAAACAATGCATTTTATTCAGGGGGTTCAAGGGAAGGGCACAGCTGAGGATTGCACCTTACAAGGGCCTGCCACCCTCACAAGGGATGATTTCCACCTCTTCTGAGAAGAGGGGGGACCTCCCCCTGTCCTGTTACAGAGGGTGGCTCCACCAATTTCAGCAAGTGCGGCCAGGGCCTGGGGGAGGGGCTGGGGGTCATCCTCAATCAGGGCCTCACCGCATCGCCTGCGGCCTTCCCCACCCCTGCACTGTTTCCAGGGGACAGGAAACACTTAATACTTTAGAAAAAGCCTGGTATTAGATGTTAATTTTTCCCTGTGATTCTGCCTCTTTTCCTGTAGGATGGGGGGATGGTGGTAGTTTTGGGGGGGTTTAAAGAGAAAAACACCCTTCCCACCCTGAGAATGTGTCCCCGCCAGGGTGTGTCCTACAGACTTACTCTATGAGACTTACTGAAAGGCAAATTAGAACTGCAGAGGAGTTCTGTCTTTATCTTTATACAATTTGGGGGGAAAATTATCAGTGGAATGAAAAAACTGAAATTCCTCTAGAAATTGCAGCTCTCCAAGGAGATATTTGAGAAATACTGGCTTTTATAATACATACTCAATAAACTATATGAACTTATTCCATCGGCAACCATTTGCTACAAATAAGGCCATTTGCTCCAAAATTTGTAGATGGTGTTGCCAGAAGGTTCTCAAAGAATTCAGGACTTCTTGGGTGGCTTCTCATTTCTGGTCCCACAAGGAGCATCTGTTAGGAAGCCGGGCATTGGAACTTTGTAATGACGTGTGTGTGTGTGTGTGTGCTGGGCGTGTGCTTCAGCGTTAGGTATTAAAATTTTGTTCACTTTCATTTTGTGGGGGAGACTTCATCTGGGACCATGGGATGCCAAGTGTGGGGTGTTTTCATCGTTGAAACCCACAGTCCGCTGGCAGAGAGGGGCTTCTGTCCTCAGGAGATGCAGCTCTGTGAACAGTACCTTCATGTTTCTGAAAAAGCTTGTCCACATCCAGCACCTCATTCACTTCTCACTGGTCAGCCCAGCGAGATGAGGGTTCGCTAGGGACTCACAGCCTGGGCTCGGGCTGGGGCCGGGCTGGGCCCTCAGGCCCCCTGGGCATGGTCACATCTTCACAGCCACATGTTTTGCCCATCAGGGTCCTGCCTATTCTTGCTGATGAACTTGAAGGTTATTGAAAATACAGCTCTGTCTTTTCCCTGAGACGGGAACCCCTTAGGTGTGGGGTTTCCTATGGGGGTGTGGCGGTGAGCGAGGCCCAGGGAAAAGTGTGCAGCTGCCACTCTTGAACCACGGGGCTCATCACGAGCTTTCCCTTCCTGGGGGGATGGAAGTCCAAGGGGGCAGCCCGATGTGGTGGGAAAGGGGCTCCACCTGGGCTCTGCCCCTCACCTGAGGGTGGCCAGCCTGTCCTTGAGCTCCTTGGAGTCTCAGCTTCCTTGGCTGAGAGCTGGGATTAATGCACGTGTCCTCAGGGCCTGCTCTAGGAGGAGCTGAGTCCATGGCAGGTCCTGTGTGGAGCCACGAGTGAGGCCTGCTTGCCTTCCAGGCTGCCTGAGCAGTGAGGGTCATCACATCACATCATGGGGGCGCGGAGGGTAGGTGCCCTCAGACCTACCTGAAGACAGAGGCCTTGGGCCATGGAGGCCATGGCAGAGCATGGTCAGAGCCCAGGTCACACCCAGCCGCGGGTCTGCTCAGCAAACCTGGTCCTCACACGGCCCTCTGAGGCTTTGGAGGAGGCACACCTCAGGGCCTTTAGGCACTCATCCCCCGAAGCCTCAGTTTGCTGCTCTGTACAATGGGCACAATAACAGGGGGACGTGTGGGGAGGGAGGGACCAGATTTGGGTCACGTGATCCTTAAGATAGCCTTGTGACACCATTTCCAACTCACAGTAGGGAGCCCCAGTCCTCACAAGGCCAGCATTGAGGACAGGAGCTGTTGCTATGTGAAGAACAGTTATTTTCCCAAACAGTGAACAATCCTCATGATGTCATAGGCCTGCCAGAGGTCCCAAATCAAATCCGTTCTGGTGCTGTGCAGCCTCCAGTAACCCTCTCCGGAGGTGATGACACAGCCTGGCCGTGGGGCAGGAGAGCACAGAGGGCTGGGGCCTTCAGGTGGGGCTCCCTGCAGGTTTCTGGGGTCGCATTCCAAAAACGGCCTCTACTCAGAGGAGGGGGGAGCTTAGCAAAGCATCATGCAGCTCAAGGACCACCACAAAAAAGGTCCCGATGGCCCTGGGGGCCCCTTCCACTGCAGCAGCATCCCGTGGGCTCAGAAGTGAGGGTGGCATCTGAGGGTGAGTTAACGGATCCCAGGGAGGAGCAACTGGATGGAGTGGCCGCAGGAGGGGGCGGGCGGGGCTCGAGGTGGCCTCCCCCACGCGCCTTCACGCCTGGCTGAAATCTAATCCTCATTCTTGGGCCCTCATGTCACGGCCTCAGCCCTGGCTTCCCAGTGGCCTGCTGCAGTCAAGCTGTTCCCACTCTTCTCTCTTCCTCCAAAGGAAGGACCTTTGCAGATGAAGTCATGGGAATCAAAGCTCCCTCTGCCCCCCAAAACGATGGGAACCTTGTTGTGTGGCCTCCCGGTATACAGGCGGGCAACCTTTGCTGTCCATCGGAGCCTTCCCAGCATGACATCATCTAATTCTCAAGTCACGTGATTGTCCCCATTGCACAGACAAGGAAACTGAGGCTAGGCCTTGGGATTGGCCTGAGGTCACAGAGCCACCAAATGAAAACTCGTCCAGATCCGGCCCCCGCAACTTGAGGTCAGTAGCTCTGAAGCCCACAGATTCAATTCAATTCAATGAATGTTGACTCAGTTCCTGCTGCGTGCTAAGCACAGGGACAAGTGCTGGGAACTTTCATGTACTTCCTGGATGGGACCGTGGGCAACCTCAGGTCTAATGCTCAGGGGAAGCATTCCTTCTCACCTCTCACCAAGAGGGTCTCTTGGGTTATTTTCTGCTAATTGTTTCCATGTTTTCAAGAGATTCATTTTAAAATTAGGCCTTAGCCCACCTCTCAGCTTAACGCAAGATGGTAGGCTCTCGATGGCTCCGTATGCCATTGTGGGAAGAAGCACATTCTTAAATGTGATTGTGACCAAGGTAATTCCTAGGACAGTCTATTAGCTTTGAGGACATCACGTTGCCTCCTAGGGTGTTCATGCCAAACAGGCAATTACTTTCTCCGTGAAGAGTCTCATCACAGTCTATTCCATTCTTCAATTAATCCGCTTCATGCCCGGCTGCTCTCCTATGTACCTAGTCCTGCACACATAGCAACGGCAGGTACGTTTCAGCCTGAGTGTCCAGCGCTGTGCTAGGCGCTGGGAATCAAAGACGAATGACACAGCCCTGGAGGAGTGGACATCCTTACGCTGTATGTGGCTGAAACCACCCCATTCTTCAGTCACTACCAAAATCCAGGTCAATACGCATACTTTCCACTGGGCCAACTGGTCAACCAGCCAACTGGTGCAGTGGTCTACATGGACTACAGTGAACCGTCATTTGACCAGTCCATTTAATTACAAATGTCAGCTGGCTGATTCCAGCAATCCCTGTCCCTGCCTGGTACAGGGAAGATGCTCAGTAATGAAATGGTCTTGTCTAGGAGGTACTGGAAAATGCAAGTCCAGTGGAAATGTCTAGAAGCATCCCCAGACCCTGGCTCATCTGGGGACCAAAGGGAGCTTCACCCGGCTCAGCCGTGCTGGGCCTGGCTGTGGAGAGCACTGTGGTCACTGCAGGCAGGGTCTGCTGGAGGTGTCTCAGTCTACCCAACATGGTCTGAGGGAAAGACAGCATGCACCCACCCGGCACACACGAGTATTCTGGAGCGGGGCAGGTGGTCACCTGCCGTGGGTCTGAGAGTGGTGGGCATCTGCACGTGTTCCAGAGTTACCTGCTCCCTTTTCTAGATTCCACACTAGCCCCAAGCCTTC